CTTATATTATTTGCGGTTATACTTTACCTATTTAATTCTATTTAATTTGAAACTGTTAATTTTCTTTCCATGCTTCTTTTAACAGCTAGCCATTTGCTTTATTATTTAGGAAAAAAAATTCAGACAAATCTCAATACAGCTACGATCCTTACTGTTATCTGGAAGTATGGATCTCAACTAAAAAATGTAGCACGTTATCGTCAATAATTAGAGTAAAACAACAACAACAACAACAAAAACATATGTTGAAGAGGAAAACATAGTTGAGATCAATCATGTTTGCCTAAAACTTGGGAAGCACCGTCGAGCGCTAGAGAACTGAACTAATGACCAATCAAATATGTGAACCGGCTCCGTCTTTTTGTCTCGAGATTAAAAAGAAAGAGATCATTTGTGATCATTCTATGACAAACACTGAAATAGATGGCATTTCTAACGAATCGATCAGTGTCATTGGCGAGCACAGTTATGCCTTGATCCAAAAGCATTGCCTCGTCTTCGCCCAAAGAATCAATCAGTTGGTTCATGAATCCTGAACCAAGTTCTAGACCTTGATCTCCACATTTTCTCAACCTTGAGTACATTTTCGGTCATACTCTAACTACAAGTCTTGTCGAAACTGGCGACTTAAACAAGAATTCCACATTAAGACCTCGCTGAAAGATTCGTAGTGGAATCTCTTCAGAGAGATCGAATCCTTGTAAACCATGTCACACCAACGATCTGAAGTTTCTGGGATATGATTCCACGAGGTATCTTGTTGTTACGGCTAGTATCACTTACGCTATTTACTTTGTAATATTCTTGTGATCTCAGTAGTTTAGGAAAGTAGGTCTAAATGTTTCAGTATATATATCGTTGTAAATCCTTTGATGAGAAATACAGAAAACCCTTTTCACATTGCCTCCTTCGATACTTTGTCATATCTCCTTTCTTGGAGTAAAAGACACACCAATCTCCAAGTACCATAGAGCAACATAATTTTTGGTTATAATTTTTGGTTTTCTCCTCAATCCAAAGGACATGGGCTCGTATGCTAATGCCTTTGTACTCCTTGACCTGTAATGCAAAACTTATCGCCACCTTCAGTTTGCTCCATCTTCGCCGTTCCAGGAACTAGAGTTAGAGTTAGGGTTATTCTCTATAGCAGATTGATAGAGACTGGGGAAATCTCTCTGTTAAAAGATATCTTGTATTTTTATTAATAGATAGATCATTTTTTTCTGTTAAATATAGGCATCTCAGGCCCAGTCATTACAAGCTCATTATTTATTCTTTTGTACTAAGCTGTGTGATTTCTGTGTGATTTCTACGCTTGATATAACCAAAACCAAAATTTTCTGCACATACTTTGAACTTTGTCTAAACATTATTAATTAATGGAGTTTAGAGTGAGATTTCAAGTGGAGTTGGAGATGCTTTAAGCAGAGTGAAGTTTTAATCTTGTATTATAATTAATAATGTTTTGACAAAAAAAAAAGAAGAAACCAAGGCAATGAGGCTCTTGTACAATAATGAGTATACACCCTTACCTACATAACCCCACGATCTTACTATATGTAGAGGTCAATCTATTTGATATTAAAAAGTTAACTCCCAAAAGAGCTTTTCTTTTTCACTTATATAAATCAGTTAGATTCCACAACAAAATCGCACTCAAGCCATATCATTTTGAACACATCTGCTATTTGATTTGTAGTTTTTAATCTTTAGCTATACATCACTTTTAACTAAATAAACTAACATGCAATCATCGTTCGTTAATTGATGTTGTGGAGGATTAGCGCATATATTTTGAGCAACCGGTAGAGAAAGAGGCTGTTGTGCAACAGGTCGAGCAGGAGGCGGTTGTGCAACTGGTGGAGCAAGAGGCTGGAAAGCCGGTGGTTCATGGTGGTGGATCACGAATACATAATTTCGAAATTCTTGATCCAAAACCCTACAAATTTGCGCAAATCAGATATGTGAATATATAATATCGAAATATTAAAATCTTCTACTATAATTTCAGGATATTACCAACATTAGAGAGCGTGATTCAGAGATAACTCAGATATAATCAAAACGGCAAAGAAATGCTTGAAAAATAGAAATGAAGATGGTAGAAATTAGCTTTAGAATATGAGATTTGGTCAAAAAATTAAGATATGAACCTAAATTAGTTTCAGAAACCTGGATGTCGAAAAAAAAAACAAAAAGCTTCCTCTAAACAAAATCTGGCTAAAGATTGAAATGGGAATGTGCTTTTAAACGAAAGTAAGAGAAGTTTCAAAGAGAGTAGGTTTTAAAGTGGGTTCATAATCTATCATCTTTCTGATTAAATCCCTGCCATAAAGCAAAAGACTTAATCTGAGATGTAAAATCGGAATGAACAAAAAATCAAACTTTACCTGAACATACGCCTTAGGAATAGGCTCAACGTCTACGGGAAGGTCCTCATATTTTAACCCAGAAAGAAATTCGCATAAACTTTCAAGAAACAGAGCGGCTCATTCCCCGTCGTAGCTTGAACAATTTTTACGATAACTTTCGTCCTCAAGCTGATTCGCATCACCGAAGATTCTCACGAGCTCATCCGATGATTTTGTAGCTTTGATTTGTAGTTTTTAGTCTTTAGCTATACATCACTTTTAACTAAATAAACTAGCATGCAATCATCGTTCGTTAATTAGAGAAAAAATAATATGTTGTATATAAACCCCAAAAAGGAAAAAACAAAAAAAACAAAAACAAATTTGAAGAACGAATACATAACTGAAAATGAATCATGCCTTTGTAAAACTTGGCAAAAACAATCTAGCACTTCTGAGTTGAAACGAACAATCAAAGTTGTAAAGTTGCTCCATCTCCTGTGCCTCGAGATTTTCTCGAGATTTAATAAGTCCCCTTCATAACGTCCAAAGCAATAAATGGAATTTCTGTTGATTTCCTCATTGTCATTTGCAAGCACAGTGATTTCTAAATAAATAAAAAAGATTATAATAAAAAATTGAAGATATTATTGAATTTTTTTGAATTAGTGGAAGTGTAAAAATGTAAGTAGCCAAAGACGAGATTAATGGTAGGGGAGTGTTCAGAATCTGGAGTGGCGGACGAATACAAATCTCGGAGGAGATGGATCAAGTTTCCTCTTATGGTTCTGGAAAACATTGTGTAGAACTCATTAAGTGAATGTTCACGTAAAAAATCATCTGCAGACATTTTTGTTTGTTTGAGGAAGATGAACTAAGATTCTTGGAGGGCTTTCTTTAACAACGTCCTCTGTTTTGTTTTGGAGGGAGCTAATGCATATATAACAGAGCTGGTTTGCGTCAAGAAAACAAATATACATATACATATATTTGAAACCAATTATTTTCTTTCTTGTTTTAGGAATCAAAATTCAATTAATGAACACAACTTGCACAAACACCATTAGATTCCTCTCTTTTTTTTGTTCCTTTTGTCCAAAATTAGATTCGTCTATAGATATCAAAATTTTTTTTTTTTAAAAAGTGTGCTAATACTCAATTTATAGCCCTCAAGTACCGCAATCGAAAACAATTATGATCAAATGAACCATGGTTTGACTCTTTACCTGGGTTAGTTTGTCTATTTACAACTAACGATGCTTTCAATTCAAGCATTTGTGTAAAGTATAGGGACCTTTTCTGTATTTATCTTAAATTGTTCCTACCATTAATAAAGAGAATGAGAGAAAAAGGAAACCACCACTATTTGTTTACACAGCAAATCTCAACCGTCGGTTTTTAGAATGCGACGACCGTTGGATCCACATCCGTACACTCTCGATTCAGTCACGATCTTCTCGAACTCATTTTTCACCGTTGGATCCTCGAATACCCATGTCTCACGCCCGACCCGAATCTCACCTCCGCCGTCTATCTCCCTTACTAACACAGTAACACCCAAACAGCTTGCCGTTTTTGAAATTTGTGCATAAGAAAAAACATAAACTGATAAACATATTAAATGAGAATTTAATTTATTTTGCCACATACAGTACATTGTTTGACATGATTGGCTCAACAACTCGTCTAAATTGGTTTCTCCGTGTGGTTATTTAGTCATATATGAAGTTCAGATTGCAGTTACAAAAATTTACAATGGTTCTTTCACAAGAGGAACAAGACTTTCTAAAGCAGGTTGGATTATCAAGAGATGAATGGGGCACATACTTAGGTGCTGGCAAAGCTGAGCATCACACACCAGTACGTGCTTTAGAAGGAGAATTTCAAGCACTCATTTTCGCAATGCAGAGTTATTAGAGCAAAGGATATAAGAAAGTATTTTTCTAAGGGGATTACAAAAATCTAGTAGATCTTCTCAACAACAACATTTTGGATTTCAGCATAATTAATTGGATTCGAGAGGTTAGATTCTGGAAAAACAAATTTGAAGATATACTCTTCAAATGGGTTCCAAGGGGAAGCAACAAACCAGCGTACATCTTAGCCAAGCAAAGAATTCTAGATAACTTTTATAACTCCTAAGTAAAGTTCAAGACAAACAACTCGGTTTGACAGAATTTTGAAAACTGTGATTGGCTGATATATTTGTATAAAGGTGTGTACGTGTGACCTTATATTAATGATAACAAATTAGCTATATATTATTTGTATAAAGGAGTGTAGGTGGAGTTGGAGATGCTTTAACCAAAGCGAGATTTCAATCTTGTATCAATTAATAATGTTTGGACAACAAATAAAAGAAGGAACCAGGGCAATGTACATTTTGACATAATTCTTCTTCTTCTTTCTCAATGGATATAAGACACATTTTTTTACTGTATAATGGAAAACTGAATATTGCAAGTTGAAGAAAGGACTAAACAACACAACCTATGATTTTGATTCATAACAGAGCCTGTATTTTTGTAAAATTATGCCATTTGAGTTGGAAGACAAGGTAAAGAAGTATCCTTTCTGCACATTAGTATTACAAGACATAGTACATCTTCTATGAGTTCCTCTCTTGTGGACATTTGACTTTTGCTTTTTTCAAGTCAATGAGCTCCAGAAGATCAGGTTAAGTTGTAGTAAGCACAATAAAGCTAAATTCTTGTCCCTGCATCCATCCTATTACAGACACTTTTTGTTTTTCGCCGGAAATATGAAAAATGATTTTTTTTTTTTTAAAGTTAAATCCACCTTGTAACGGAGGACTCGTTGTCTTCAACTGCTGAACTCTTCCTCTTCCTCCGTGCCAGAGAAATCTTCTCTTCTCCGACGAGTAAAGACGAGTTAGTCTGAAGCAACATCTGAGTCAACTCGACCTCCATTTCCAACCTTCTTTTCTCCGCTTCCCACCTCGCTGCCTCACGAGCCTTGATCATCTCCATCTCCGCCAATTCCGTTCTCAGCAGCGAATCGGACAAGACTCGTATGATCGCCGACAGCCCCGTCGAGGTTGTTGAGGCAGACCACCGATTCAACTCGGTCCCGGAATCGGAGCTCGAGTTTGACTCAGTCTCTGAGTCGGAGCTACGAGGAACATCAGATCCATTTTCACCCGACAAGTCACCGTTGTTCTCCGAAGATGATCCAGCCGTGGTTTGGCTCCGGCGTAGTCTCACCGACTTACCCATGAAGTGTGGTGTGAGTGATCGTTTTGAAATATTGGGCAGAGAGACAGTGGAACATGGGTTTTTGTTTGATTCTTCAGCTTTAAAATCCGATTAGTCTAAAGTCTAAACTAAACTATGGGGTGTTATTCAATCATGGTTTTTAATAGAATTTAAATCCAACCACAATCCACTATTATTCAACTAATGATTCTAAATAATGTTTTAAAATCAAGTGTTATTGGTTCTTTTGATTGTAAATCATATTTAAAAGGTTTTAAAGTTTGGTGTTATTCAATAAAGATTTCAAATCTTTCATTAAAATCCAGTGTTATTTAAAACTAAATAATTTTTAAAATCTTTGTACATTAAGTCATTTCAAATCAATTCTAATAGAGTTTTATGAGTAAATTATTAGAATCAAAATCCAAAGTATATTGCAGAGATTTTAGAATCTAAACAAATGAATCCATCAAACTGATATCAATTTTTAAATCTAGAAGATTATAAAACATAGAAAATTCATTTCAAATTCATGATTGAATAACAACCCCTTTGGCTCCACTTTCGATTAAAAGTAAACTTTTGTTTTTCCCCACTTTAAATCACTTTGAAAGGACTAAACTAAACTAAGATGGCTCCACTTTCGATTAAAAAGTTATGTATTTAAATTCGCCAAAACATTATTCGGAAATAATACAAAGAATAGATTTTAACCTCATGCGGACGCACGGAAATGTTTTATTTTTTATTTCTAATATAAGTTGCATTTATCTTTTTGTTTAGATATAATTAATTTTTGTTATTTATTTTTTTAAATCAAAAAATTGTTATCATATTTTAATTTTAAACAGTAAAATTTGTATATTAGTTAATAGAATAAAAATATACGTTAATTAAGTATACATTGATCTAATGTTAATTATAAACTTTGTTATTATGTGAATTTAGATCTACACATAAACAATCTATATATCTATGAATTTGCTAATCCATCTATTTAGTTGTTTTAAATCATTTTTAATATCTTACATGTTTTGACAAACTAATCCGTATAAGACTATAATTATAATTGTATAACCCTATAAATATTTATTAATATGGAATATTTGGACCATTGATTATGAAAAAATATAATAAGATATTTATTTACTATTTGTGCTATTAAAAAATATATATATATATATAAACGGGCTAACATGTTAGTTTAATTGTCTCAAATCATCTTAATATCTTACATGTTTTAAGAAATTAACTCATGGACCTTAAATATAAATATATATATATAACCAGTGTCGTGCGAAGACCTTTAGAGACCTAAGGCAAATTTTAAAAATACATATATTACAATGTTGTAAGAATAATGATATAAAATATATATAAATCTATACATAAATTCTAAGTTTTTGAAAAATATCTTACATAAATGTTATATATCTTTTTTTCTACAAACAATAAATTTTTAAAAACTGAAGAAATAATTAAACTTATAGCATAGAAAAATTAAAATAGAAAGCAGCTCTAAAAACAATTATAAAAATCATTCAAATTTTAGTTAGAATATAAAGTTAATAAAAAAAGGTAGTTATTGTAAGCATAAGTGAGGTTTGAATAGCTGAACTCAGATGCATATAAAACTAAGAGGAGACATTAACCACTACAACATGAAAGATATTATGTATTTAGGGGCCCTAAAATTAATTATATTGTCTGGGGACTTGAGGCAAATGCCTTTTGCAATACACTATAAGCACAGCTCTGTATATAACTCTAATCAGCTCGATCTTGTATAGTATAAATATTTATTAATCTCAAATATTTGATATTTTAGACCGATTGTTTATGATAAAATACGATAAAATATTTATTTACTATGCATTTTTATAAAAATATTATTTAAATTTAAAATTTAAAATTAAATCTTTTCTGTATTTAAGAAATTCTAAAGTATTAAAATTATTATCAACATTTTCGTAATAAAATTTAATTATAATTTTTTTAAATTTTTTGAATTTAAATTAAATTGAATGCAAATTTTTGTAACTAAATTTAATTAAATTTCTAATACTTTGAAATTTAAATTAAAGATAACCTAGATTTTAGGAAATCTAAAAATAACTAAATTAATAACTAATTTTCGGAAATTAAATTTAAAAATTAAATAAAGTATTATAAAAAAAACTTTGGGAGTGTTTGAATGTAAGCACTAAATGTGTTTATGTTTTAATAGAACAGATAGATGTTCGAGGCTACCAGATTCAGAAACAATAATCTTAAACGCTAATTAGCGGGAATATTTGATAATTAAACAAGTAACATTACCGGAAAAATAGATCCGATGAATGAATATTTCTAGACAATAATAATAGTAAACATATCACCCAATAATAAGTAGACAATTATTTAAGGCCAAAAAAAAGAGTAGACAATTATTTAAAGGGATAAACTCTTTGTTAACCAATCCTTGTTCCTACTTCTTTCCACTAAAACACACGCGCACAGATGACCACGCGTGACCAATTAACAAGGCAAGAGCCAGCAAATAGAGTCTACGCGCTTGGTTCACGCGTAGAACTTGTTAGCGCGTATACCGGTTTTGTCATTGTTTCGTTCGATTTCCTAATCTCCTCCTAACTCTCTCTCTCTCTCTCTCTCAAATTCGTGTGTTTTTTTTTTTTGCCGATCAAAGCAGCGAAAAAGCATTGAAAAATGTCATCCAAGGACAAGAAACCGTCGAAGCCGTCTGGTGGTCGGACCGGTCATATTCGTACCCTTTCCGATCTGAATCGAAGGTCAGGGCCGGACTCCGACAGTGATTCCGATGGACCTCAGGAGTATTTCACCGGCGGAGAGAAAAGGTCGGTGTTTTTTTTAAACCCTGATTTTCAGATTTTCCAATTTTTTCCGGTGCTTGTTTTCGATCCGAGGGTTCACTGAATTAGATATGAATGATTTTGCTTGAGCTTTTTCTTTCCGTTAAAAATCAGTTTTTTTTTCTATGATTCAACTGTAATGGTTTTAGCCAATTAATTGCTTAATCGAAAATAAGATTTTTGTAGTTTAGATGATTGCAGGCTTTCCAGGAGTTTAGTAATCAGTGATTGAAAATTTGAAAAAAATTACCTTTTCAACTTCTGTTAAGAAAGATACTTTATGATTATATAACTTCACTAATGCATACATACAAATAGCGATGCACAAAGCTTTAGGCTTGTATCTAAACCCATTATTAAATTGAGGATTTACTATGGTTGGTATTATCTAACATGTTAAAAAAACTTGGATTGGATCTTTGTGTTATGTGTGCAGTGGTATGCTTGTTCAGGATCCTACAAAAGAACCAAAACACGATGATGTTGATGAGATATTTAATCAAGCAAGGCAGCTAGGAGCTGTGGAAGGACCTCTTGAGCGTCCTTCAAGCTCCAGAAGCTTCACCGGAACCGGGAGATTGCTTTCAGGAGAAAGCGTGCCTAGTGCTCTTCAGCAGCCTGAGCCTGTGATTCACAATATCGTTTTCTGGTCTAACGGATTCACCGTAGATGATGGACCTTTGAGGAAGTTGGACGATCCAGAGAACGCGTCTTTTCTCGATGTAAGAAAAACGAAACTTTCAATTTGTCTACTTGAATTCCCATGTTAAAACAGTTGTTTTTAATTCGGTTTTGCATTGGTTCTTTTTGGTTCTTTGCAGAGCATTCGAAAGTCTGAGTGCCCGAAGGAGCTTGAGCCTGCAGATAAAAGAGCTCCGGTTCATGTCAATCTAATGAGAAGAGACGAGAAATGCCCTGTAAGTCCTCTCTGCACTCTCCAACTTTCCCTCTTTTGTATTGAAACTACTGATAAAGTATCTGTTTTTTCTCCAATGTTTTAGAACATTGAATAGACAGTTCGAAAAGCACACATCTTTGGTTTTATGAATCCTAATCTGCTATGGACTAAATCGGTTTTATGCTCACTGAGACATTTTATTTTCTTTTCTATGGTAGGAACGAGAGAAACTTACGGTTGCATTTCAAGGAGTGGGAAGGACTCTAGGTGGTGCCAGCTCATCAACGGCTCCAAGCCTAAGCAACTTAACCGATGTACCAGCGGTTCCATCACCGTCACAGTCACCGAGCCTTGTCGTTGATGAATCTCTTCCATCAACATCGATCCAGCTTAGACTCGCGGATGGGACACGCATGGTGGCTAAGTTCAATAACCATCACACGGTCAACGACATTCGTGCTTTCATCGACTTTTCTCGACCAGGGAATCCGATCAACTACATCCTTCAGGTCATGGGTTTCCCACCAAAGCCGCTTACTGACCCTTTTCAGACCATTGATCAAGCTGGTCTCGCAAACTCTGTAGTCATTCAGAAATTCTAGAAACTTTTCGTTTCTCTGATTCTTCTTTTCATATGCATTAGAGAGAGAGAGATTTCGAGAACTTGGGATTATTGTCAAGATATCCAGAAAAATGTTCTTCTGATTTGTAAGAAAAAAGAGCACAATCGGCTTAAGAGAGCAAAAACATCATATGGAATTTCAATGTTTTTCGTTTGAAATGTGTTTTTTATTATACGGTTTATATATTAGAAGAATTGAAAGTTTGCTTACGAAGTGATTTAGAGGTCTCGTTTTGTATAATCTGATTTGGTGTTTATTAAAGTTCGAATCTAAACAATTATTACATGACCAAAAAAGATTCCAATCTAAACAGTAAACTGTTATTACATGACTGTTTTGGTATATAAAAATACCATAACTTCTATTGAGTATTCATGTGTTATTGGTGTGCCAAACTGGCTGATTTTGGACATACTACGTCCATGAATAATTTAGTTAACTCACATAAAATAATGTTTTGGTTCATCAAATACCAAAACAAATGAATGATTAGTAAGTTTTTTTGCCGAAAGATTAACACGCGTGGTACCATTCTAGATTTAAATATAACGTTGATCCTGTCAGTATGACTCAATATAACAACATGATAACATAAAAAACAAACTTAGGACGAGCATGAAATTCAAGTAGAATTTTGGTTTGGTTACTTTTGTTTTGAAGGAGGAAGAAGGTAAGAAAATATAAGAAATATTCATCTTTCGAATTTTACTGTTTGTCTGCACAAATATTTCCATCAAAATTTTCAAACGGAAGTAAAAAAATTTGAAATTCGAGCCTCTTTTTTTCCCAATTTCCGGCAAATGTTTCTTGCAGGAAAAAGCAACATAATTCCCAATTTAATTTGTTATGGAGAAAAATAAAATAAAATAAACTAAAAAGGGCAAAATAATAAATTGCCCTTGTCTACAGTAAAACTCCTAAATTGCAAATGACTCATCTTCTTCACCTGGAGAGAATCTAGGGTTCCAGATTTACTCTTCATCTTCCTCTCTTCTGCCCTCTGAAATTTCCTCTTTTTCCCCTTCTTCATCTTCCCATCGATATACCCATCCTAGATCTTCTAAAACGCCCTTTATCTCTGTACATTTCAAGGTACGGAGACAAACAAAAACCTAACTTTATTCCGGCTTACCAGTTTTTTTGTTTGTTGAGAAAACCCTAGCTTCCATGGCAAAAACACGACCTGGTGTCGCCTCGAAAATTAAGCCTGGAAGGAAGGAGCTTGACTCTTATACCATCAAAGGCACCAACAAAGTTGTGAGAGGTAGTCTCTTACCATTATCTATCGTCACTTGTAAAATTGTACATTATTCTGCATGTTTTTGGGCATTTCAGCATCTAGTGTATGTTTACAAAGGAAGGGCTTGCTCTAAAGCTTAGATATGGAGTCTGTATCGTTCAATGTCTGCTTAGGTGGTTTTTAAATTCACCCTTATTCCGTAATCTTCCTCTTCAGGTGTTTAGCTGTTAGATGTTTATGTTACTGCTTTGTAGCTACACTTTGGAAGGTGTTTGGTTTATGCAAAATGTGATCTTCGGTAGCTGTCTTGTTTCAGAACAGAGAATTGTTTTGATTTAAGCTTCTTATATGTAAATTTTCTGACTTACTTTTTTTGGTTTTCTATGAGCTGTCTTTAGCTGTGTAACTGAGAAACATGAATGATTACTCTTGTTTGGGTTGTAACATGAATTCGTTTTACTGCATATTTATCATCTGCAAATATGTGTGTTGATGCAAATGTGGACCTTTACATGTTAAAAAATCTTGCATTTACTCAGAAAATTCAGTCGGTGCTAGTTACTAGGTGAAAGAGTGATGGTATACTTAACATTTGCAACCCATACTTGAAATGCTTGTTCATTGGAAGCTTCTTATGGTGTTTGTTGTACTGTGTAGATTAGAGAATGTCAGTTAGATATGTCACTAGATTCATATCCATTTCGTAATATTGGGCATGATGAGCTATCAAGTAATCTTTGATGTTATTTTCTGCAGTTGGAGATTGTGTGTTGATGCGCCCATCAGATGCTGGTAAACCACCATATGTGGCCCGTGTTGAGAAGATCGAAGCAGATGCCAGGAACAATGTGAAGGTTCACTGTCGATGGTATTACCGCCCTGAGGAGTCCCTTGGTGGTAGGAGACAGTTCCATGGAGCTAAAGAACTTTTCTTGTCTGACCATTTTGATGTTCAAAGCGCACACACCATTGAGGGAAAATGCATTGTTCACACCTTCAAAAACTACACGAGGCTTGAAAACGTTGGGGCGGAGGACTATTATTGTAGATTCGAGTACAAGGCTGCTACTGGCGCGTTTACCCCTGATCGAGTTGCTGTGTAAGTTGATATATGATAATCAATTCAGATATATGTTTTCTTATTAACTGGAATGTCAATGATTTTATTTTATGTTTTGCTCTTTTGGTTCTGAAGGTACTGCAAATGTGAAATGCCTTATAATCCAGATGATCTCATGGTCCAATGCGAAGGCTGCAAAGACTGGTAAATGTAGATATTTGTCTTTTTAGTAGCATCCTTACTTGTGATTGAACATTAAAGACACTTTAATTTCTGTTTTTAAACTTACTGGAATCCTTTTCCACGAATTATTGATGGTAAGAGTTGCAATTTGATGTTGTAGGTATCATCCTGCATGTGTGGGCATGACGATTGAAGAAGCAAAGAAGCTTGATCACTTTGTATGTGCTGAATGCAGTTCTGATGACGATGTCAAAAAATCGCAGAACGGGTTTACTGCATCTCCAGCTGATGATGTCAAGGTTCGTTTTTCTCTCTTTAGCCATCTCCTATATAGATAACCTTTGATAGCCTTTGATAGCCTTTGCCTCTGCCGCTCTGTGTGCATCCGTTTCATTGACTTATTTGAGATCTGAGAAAAGTTAGAAAACCAAATATATGCACTTGCTTGAAACGGACCTGATATTGCTTGAAATATATGCACTTGCTTTGCTTAGTGGGGAATGGCCAGAAAGATACAATTTGTAGTTCTTGGTCCTGTCAGGATATGGTCTTTGCTTAACGTTACTCCAGGTCTTGCTGAAAAACGATCTGTCTGTTAAGGTTACCAAAGATCCATTTTGTACTGCTTATACTTCCACGAACTTAAGCATACCATAGATACTGGAGTTAGAAATCTCCTTGACTGTGACCAGGGAGACATTGATTTCAAAAAGCTTTTGTTCCGCAATATTTTTTCTGTTTTGTGTTAAAAAGCTTGTAAGTTTAACAATGGCATTGTTGTCTTCAGGTGGAAACGAAGCGCAGAAAAAGATAATCTCAGGGTTCTCATGTGTAAAAGCCACAGGGGAAGATAAGTTATAACATGGAAGCTCCTTGGTGCAGATTTTAGTAAGTTAGGATTTTGTCTTTGTCGCTGTGGTTGTGATGATGTCTGTATGGTGCGTTTTCCAAAACTAAGAGAAATGTGAAAAAGGAGAGAGATCGGAGAGATGATGAAGACAAATTATGGTGGCAGCGTTAGTTGTATAGACTTTTCCGTGGGGATTAAGTTAAGTTTAGGTCTGTTTGTTATGGTCTGTTGGTTTGTGTCTGATGTGAACAGAGGGTGACGAACATGAACAACGCTTTGACTTTGGGTCATCTCAACAAAATCTAACCTCAGATCTATCTTCCACTTTCTTAATCATGGTCGTATATCCTGAAGCAATTTTTAGTAAATTATTCGACAAACTAAAAAGAGAGAACATTGCAAGGCTAAATTCAAAATCTTATTTAGATGCAAAAGTCTCAGATCGATTGATTATTCGACAAAAAAGAAGAAGAAAGATGATCGAAACAGGGTACAGAGACTCTTCTTATATACTCTAATTTTATCCTCACAGAAATACACAAACAAAGTTTCATACTTTTTGGTTTGAACAAAGATGTATTCTTTACCTCTCTGTCGCATCCTTTGGATCAGAGCCGTTTGTATTAAGCAAAACTCTCCACTTGCTCTTGAGTTTTGGAGCTGATCACTTTTTTATCATCCAATGAACAGAAAAGACTCGACCTTGGAGTGGTTTTGGATTATTATAATTATTAATCAGAATGAGATATCGATCTGTTCATGTTCAGGTGTCCTGTAAGAAAATCCAGTGTCATCACTTGATCTTCTTTTGACAACGCTTGCCCTTTGAACCAATCTCACTAGCTGTTGAACCACCTCTGACATTGGTGGCCTGAACTCTGGTTCCGGCTAAATTGACAAGAAAAGAAGAAGATGGTTACTTTACGAAAACAATTTCGGTTTTGTTTTATTGAGTCGGGATCGTATTTTACCTGAATACAAAGAGCAATGATATCCGCAAAACGAGACAATGACTTAGCTGGATACATGCCATTAAGAGAAGGATCAACCATTTTAGACAAAGCATCTATATCATGAAGCTGCGGTGTAGCCCATCTCACTAGTGATTGCTCTGCTCTCGTCCTCGAGCTATCAAACACACACAAAGCAAAGCTGATTATGGAAAACTCGAACCAATGGCTCTTTTTGGTTGACATTATATGAATAAGAAGGTAAAAATGAACCTGTCAAGAGGCTTCCGACCAGTTAAGAGCTCAAGCATGACTACTCCAAAAGTGTATACATCACTTTTCACAGTATATATTCCCGACAATGCAAACTCGGGAGCGCTGTATCCAAATGAACCTACCACTTGAGTTGAAACCTGTTAACATGCATAAAACCATGAAAGGCTCAGAAAACGTTCCAACATTAGCTCAATATCTGATTCTTTCCCATTTTGTTATCACCTGTCTCTCAGTGTTAGGGTTTAAAGCAGCTAAGCCACTATCTGATAAGTGAGGATTAAGTTCTTCATCTAGCAATATGTTCGCCGACTTGAAATTCCTATGTACAATTGAAGGCAAGCAAACTTCGTGCAAGTACCTGTACCAAAAAAAAAAGAGCTCAGGTTTAACATGAGAGTTGTTCATGAAAGAGACTAGATATATAGTCATAACCAATGTGACGTACTCTAAAGCCTTGGCCGTTCCAAGTGCCACTTTAACACGCGCATTCCAAGTCAAGGTCATGCTTCTATCATCATTCAAGTGAAGCATATCATCTAGATTCCCATTTCCCACATATTCATAGACTAGAAGACGTTGACCATGCTCAGTGCAGTATCCAGCCAAGGGAACAATGTTTGGATGCCTCAAGCGCGACATGTTTGAAACGGCTTCTAAGAAACTATCTTCTTCTTGTAATGAAAGTGCTGCATTATCAATCTTCTTGATCGCCATTATCTAGAAATAGGTTACACACATAAATTGGGTCCCAAGAAAGAAGGTTGGCTTTGTTTAGTGTAGAAAGCTATCAACTTTTGAGTTACCTTTCCATGGGGAAACTCTGCTCTATAGACACGGCCTAGAGAGCCTTCACCAATGATGTTTTCTTGACTAAAGCTGTTTGTTGCTACTTGCAGAGAGGAAACAGTGTATTGTGAAGCAGTGATTGGAGATCTTATTCTACTTATAGACTCGTTTTTCATAACCCGATCAACCGTTACTTTCTCTGCAGGTGAAGACTTCAAGTCTGCAACGGATGCTACACTTTTTACCCTCTGCTCTTGCACCTCAGGTATCCCACTAAGTGGAAGACTTCTTTGAGAAGCTCTTGTGCTTCCTCCAACTTTCTTTTTCTTCTTATGAAGGCACAAGTAAAGACCAAGTGCTACAATACCAGCAACAAACAGAGAACCGAACACTATACCGGTAACTACTCCACCAGACAAACCTTTGTCAGATTCAGAAGACTTCCCTTCAGCGTCAGGACTGTTTTTGGGTTTCTTAGAACCAGAAGGTTTCCCCTTTTTGTCAGGTCTTTCTGGCTGAGGAGAGCCAGGTGCATTATCAAAGGAATTACCATCATATCTGTTTCATTTTGGAATGTCAAAGACATAAACTTGCAACTCGTTTAAACTAACACTGAAAGCAAAATCCAAAAAGTACAGAAATTTAACAGATTGTTATTGAAAACTAACATTAAGGTCTCAATAGAGCTAAGCTCCTTAGGTATGGATCCATTGAATTGATTGTTTGCAACATTTCTGCCAAGAAAACATATACGGTAAGTAAACATGGGGAAATAACACATTCATTGCTTTTGTTCTATCTGAAATGAAACTTACAGAGTTGTCAGAGGCAAACCCGAGAGTACGTCGATGGTACCTGTCAACTTATTGTTCTGAAGATATCTGTCACAAAGGAAGATAACAAGATGAATTTCTTTTTTCACTTCTTAATTCTCTTGGCAACAAATTCAATTTGAAAGCACTCACAGAACGGAAAGCTTGGACACTGTACTTAAGGAACTCGGAAGATCGCCACTGAAATTATTGTGAGATAGGTCCCTGGATGAAGCAATAACAGATCAATGGACACTGGAACCTGGCAGTGATATGAGTGTGATAAAGAGATAGGTAAGAGATCTTACAAGGTTGAAAGTGACTTATGATCAGCAAAGATATCTCCTATCGACATCGAAAGTGAATTACCACTTACATTCCTAGAAAATATCAAAATTTAAAGACTCATAAGAAGAAGAAATCTGGTAAAACCACACAGTATATGGTTCTAGAATGGCAAGCTCACATGTACGAAAGAGAACCCATAGCAGATATGGAGTATGGAAGGTTACCACTTAGGTTGTTTCTTGCTAGATTTCTGCATTACATTTTCATTCAACTGTTAGTTTCAAAACTGAACACTGAGATGCAATAAGAGCATAGCTAAACAAACACAGCATTACAGGCTAGTGAGATTCGGTGGCAATTGATATGGAAGTGTGTCATGGATGTTGTTGCCGCTAACATCCCTGTAACAAAATGAAAGATAGTTTAGTTGCTGAATCCAAAGCCTACAAAAGCACAAAGATCAAACAAACAAAACGGACAGAAAACATCTAAGTCATACAGTTTTCTGAGTGACATTAGGTCTGAGAGCAAGTATCCAAGAGTGCCAGAGACTCCTAAATCCGATATATCTCTGTTAGAACCACAACAAGCATAAGAACATTTTCCAAGAATCACTAACCAATGCAAGTGGAAAGTAGGAAAAAAAAGAAGCAAAATCTGATTCTTTACATAGTGACAACTGCTGAGCCCTCACAAGTAATCCCTTTCCATGACTCTCCACATGGATCTCCACCTCCATTTTTCCAATTGGTTAGCTGTGAAGGACTATTTAGTGAAGTATACAAAACTTGAAGGGCTTGAACTGCAATAGACCAGTAAGAAGAGGACAACTCGGATATCAGAAAACCAATCAAGGATCTAACAAGAAAGATGAAAAATCTTTCATAAAGCTTACAACTTTCCCTTTTCAGCTAAAAGTAAGTAAACACATTTGGTTAAATTTTGGTTTTTTTTTCTACTGGCATTAACATTTCCACTTCCCATTATTTTCCGGCGGGTTCTCGGGAGTGTCAAAATATCAATTAATCATCAAATCTACATTAATGCAAAAGGGGGTTTATCATCTGAATCTAAAGTCTTATACTTTAGTCTTTAGGGAACGAAAAAAGCAAAGAAACCCAAAAATCTAAGGTCTCAAATCACATCGCTAAACCAAAGAAAAACGAAAAGATCTCAAAAGAGACGATCACAATAAGGTAAAAGCAGGAAAAGAAAAAAGTCACAGACTCATAAAAGCCTAATACTTTACCATCAGATGGGTCAGTAACACAACGAACAAGGGAGAATCCAGAGATCAAAACGAAGAATAGGAGCAAAACAGGGAACGTAGCCATTGCAGAAGCTGGTGTGTCGGTGATCACGAGCGAGGACTTCCATTGCAGAGAAACATAGCTATGAAAGCTCCAGAAGGGGAAAGCGAAAGGAAAGAGAAAAAAGACAGTGACAGAGAAGAAGAAGAGTAACAGTGGGGATTGGGGATAGTAGTTAGAAGCATCGCCATTAAAGAAAGGTATAGGTAGTGACTAGTGAGAGAGAGAGAGAGAGATTGATTCCAAGCTTGGTTGAGTTATGAAGAGAGAGAAATAATTATTTTTCTCATTTTTCTAATTCAGGTTTCTTTATACAAAACCTCTATTTCTCCGTAGATTCATTCACATTGATTAATAAGTAAAGCTTATTTAAGACTTCATTAAGACTCATAAGGCAAGATTCTTAATTGCACTGGCTTAATGATTATATATAAGTATTTTTGACAATCTACGTATATAGAATCAACGTATATGATTGAGATGAAATTGCTGAATTTCTTTGAGCAGTTGATAACTGTTCTGACTTACTGACTGGTGTTTTGTGTCGGTGGGAGTTTGGAATTTGCTTTCATTTATTTTTCCACATATTTTAAAGTTGTAAAGTAATATTTTAATAGACTAAGTAAAAAATGAGATTAAAGAAATAATATAGGTTATTTTTGGGGGAATGAAATTGTAGCTAGCAACATTTGACTCGCGTTCTTTTTGGGCTATTTGCCTCTCGCTATCAGTTTTGTTTTGCTTTTCCCAAAGCTCTTTTTTCTTTGATTCTCTACACTTGCTCCTTTCTTTCTTCTAGTACACCTTTCTATTTCTGTGCCACGTCTCCAGTTATCCAGCCATTTGGTTAACTTTTATATCTACCTCTCTCTCCAATATTCATGATCTTTTCTAATACAAGACATGTACATTATGATGTAAGAAGAAAAAAATTATATTGACATTATGCATAAGGTTTTTTTCTATATAAAATGTATAAATGGTAGCAATTATGTTTGATTGGTAAGAAAATTTATCTAATAGAAGAACTAACTATTCAAATATTGAAATGGTATCAGAAAAACAAAATTTTAGTACCTTAATTTAGAGAAAAAAATAACAAATTTACTTACGTTATTTCTTTTACGATATGAATATAGTCCTTTCGATTATCTTGGTAATGGACAATTCTTTGGATACAGATAAATTAGTCAAACATCTGGGATTAAACACATAGTCAATTAATTCAGCAAAGGCAAAGTGGTTCCAAATAATTTACAAATACCACCAATCAAAATTTCAAATGATGGTGACTATATATTGTTGACTAGATGCAAAACGTAAACTAGTTTTTCTTTAGTTTTTTTTATAATTTTTTCAATATAAAGTTTCGAACGGTTGAACAAAAAAACAATTAAAAAAATGGAAAAGCTGGATTTGTAAATTGACTTATTGTTGGTGACATGGTCTGAAGAAAAAAAAAAACTGAAACTTTTAAGGCTGACTAAATAAATTGTTTTGAAATCTATAGTAGTCTCGGCTTGTAAATTCAACCACCAAAAAAGATGCACACTGTTTAAAACGCGGTTAGAATTTGCACACGAATTAAAAAAGAACACGTGAATGTTATAGCTTGCAAGTTTCTTTTTTTGTATAACCTTTGCTGAAAAAAATAGATCCTTTTTTATAATTTAAAGAGAATTATCAAATCAAAATAGCAACAAAATGGAAAACGACATACATTTTGGACAAAAGAAATGTGGGATAGTTCCGTGAAAACGACTAATAATAGACTACATAGAGTAAAAGATATCGTCCACTCATAGAAACACGAACATTATGTTACCTTTTGGCCTGTTCTCATGTTATATTATTTTTTGTACTTTTATGAAAATATTATTCTTCTATAGATATCTATTCATCAATAATACGGATAAAAGAAATTATATTTAGAGCTGAAAGTGAAATCATGTGTGGATCCAATCTGGCTAATAGCTTAATGGTTTACAGGCCTGTTCAACTGTTCTTGGCAGAGAAGAAGATCAATGATTAATAAATTAACCTTTTCCCCGTTTTTATTGATCGTTTCCTTATATCTTTTGATATATTGAAAAGTTAGAATGAGTTTTGAATTATAGAGTCATTTAATTTTGTCTCCTACGGCCTTACCCGTAAATTTATTTCGTTGGAGGCCATAAACCATGAATCTAACTCATATTCGAATGTGGTTTTATGTTATTTTGTCATGTTGATGCAGTTTTATTCTTTTACAGTTAATAGTATACTGTATAACTAAAAGAAATAGTAGCTACTATTTTAAAATAAATATATTGTATTGGCGAAGTGAAAAAGGGGTTTAATGAGGGAAGAATCAAGATTGCTTGTTTAATGTCTTGAAGGAGAGACTTTATTCCAAGGAATGAAATCCCGTGATCTTGTTTTGGATTCTTTCAACGTAATTACGTACTTTAAATATTAAAATTACGTTATTTATCTTATTCTATGCAAGCAATTATAAAATACATAACCATACAGAGAAGTTAATTTAGATGAGTAGTTGATTTATTAACATTGGGAACAAGGCTTCTTATGGCTACATAACCATACGGAGAAGTTAATTTAGATGAGTAGTTGAGCAAATCATGCCAACCAGTGTATGTATCAAAATAAATTAAATTCACATTAAATGTTTTTTCATATGTCTATGTTTTTATTATATAAATTAATTAAAATTATAGCTGAAAGCCTGAAACAATATGCACAAATTTCAAATCTAAAAAACTAAAATAAGAACTGTGTTGAAAAAAACGGTACGATGTTCAAGGCGGTGGTGTTCCAAATCTTCTGAGACATAGTTATGTCTATCATCTCACTCAAAGATGTTGGGTTTTGGCTTGTTTTTTTTTGTCTCTCGTTGATGGTCAAATCTTAAGCAAGGTCGGATCACGGAGGCGTTATGCTCCGTTGCTGTTTTTTGTATTGCCGGTTTAGGTCGATTTACCTCTGGCATAATTCATGTCTAGAAATAACTCTGTAAGTCTAATTGTAATGTTTGTTTTCATTACCAAATTTTATAAATAACTTGAATTTTGAAAGAAAAAAAAACAGTTTTACAATAAAAATATATAATCGTGGGTTTTTTCATTATGAACCTTATAGAAATGAATGTGATAAAGTTTTATAAGTCACAAGACTGACAACATCAAAGACGGAGCCAAAGTCATTGTCGAGGAAACGAAAATGAGACGATAGAAATCAATGAAGAAAACAGCACAAGCACTAGTGTTTACTATGTTCCAAAAAAAAAAGTGTTTACTAAAAGAAAAAAACCTCGACCAACTAACACTAGGCTCCGTAAAGTTTCGGGCTATTTGGATAGGGCCTTATTTGGAATTCGGCCTATAATTCTATTGTTCGGTCACAATATACCTTCTCTTGAACTTCTTTCTCATTCCTTGCATTTATCATATCCGGAAAAAATCGAAGCGGCGTGGACATTTTTTCTCTCAAACCAATTTCTGATTAAAGCTTCAAAGAATCCGACAAATGATATTTTTTTTTTCAGCGTAATTTAACAAATATCGAACATTGATTCTCGTAGTGTATGTTTGGTTGTAATACTCAGAATCTGAGTTTTGATATCACCTTTTTTGTGTTGTACCGACTACCGAATCAATTAGTCTATTTTTTATATATATCAGCAATAATGGGCTCCATATTCGAATCCAAAAAATCCATGAAAATGTATTATGTGGTCGTTGGCCACTATGCCAATGATTCTAATGAAAATGAATCGCATAAGGTAAAGGTGCTAGCTAAAATGTAATTCCAAAGTTCAATTATTCAACCAACTCTAATTCTCTTTTATATTTTGACTCCATTTTCTAATTCAGTGGACTATGAAAGAACACATCATCATCTTGCATGATTTTTAGCACAAAGCTTTCACTTTAAGCCAAAATAATAATACTCATGTGTTTTAATCACCACACTCACACGCTCCGCGCGTGCGCTACTTACAAATTTGTATGTCCCCACGTTAAGCGCATGTCTTACCAAATCTTGCACTATACAGTCTCTATAAATGATGGTCCGTGCACCACGGTCGCTTAGTCTGCGCGTGGTCCGAACATTGCAACATTTTTCTGCCCGTTACAAAGTCTATGTCTAACTAACCGTTAGTAACTCCTACTATATTAACCTATATTAATAGTAGCTATTAGCAAACACCCAATAAATTCTCACTAAAATAATTTACTAACATCAACTTCAGCAAAACGCAAAAATATAAAACAATTTTAAGGCTCAGAACCTCTTCACTAAAAAAGAAACACAAAAAGAAAACCAAAGTAAAAAGGAACATCAAATGCATTCTTTCATTTGATCATTAAATAAGGAAAACCACTTACTACAATTAGTAGCAGCCCGACTAATAAACAAATACAAACAAAGTGATGTCTATTAGCGTCAAGATCACAATTGATTTAATCTAAAACAAAAGAAGATTCGGAATTATTAAATTTATTCTTTTGAAATTGTTTAATCGGCCGGCACATAATTTGTTTTAGACTTTTAGGTGAACGAACATAGCCTTTTACAAATAATCCAACGGCACTAAAAATAATATATTTGAAAATACGATGAAATAAATAAATATAAATAGGAATACTTTTTGGCAAGCCAATGAGCGTAAATAAACAAAAACCTCTGGGCGTCTTCTTCATCTTCTTCTTCTCCTCGCGACTGTACGATCTCTTTCAATTTCCCACTCCCTTAATTTTAACCCTCCGTAACTGCTTTTCTTATCAGTTTCCATACCAACATTATCTTAAACGGTTTTATATATAAATTAATAATATCCATTAAAATAATTTTCTTTGGTTTATTATTTACCTCTATATTTGTTTGCGTGTTGGTAGTTCACTCAGGGAGGGTAGAGAAAAAAAAATAAAGTTCTTAGCTTTGGATGAATCTCGAAGTGATCCAAACACTGGCTTATTCCACTCCTCTTCTCTAGGGTTTCTCTCTGTTTCCTTTAATTTCTGACTGATTTCTCTTTTTTTTTTTTTTAATAAAATTAAAGTCTCTGGATCTCATTGTTTCTGTGGAGTAAATTTGGGGATAGCTGACAAAAAGCTAACTTTTTTTTTATGCTCTGAGTTGTTTCACGGTCCTTTATGTTTCTGTAAAAAGATTCGAACTCTTATGGAATTTGGTGTTGTGAAGTTTGTTCCAAAAGTTTAGCCTTTCTGGGTTTTTCTTGCTCAGTATAATTGGCACTTGCAAATTTAGTCTTCTTTGATTCAGATTTATGAAGTTTTCCACAAGATTTTGGTTTGATAGAAATTTTGATTTGATTATAGAGTTTAGAAAATGCTTAAACTTTGCTTATGTGATTCTTGACTTGATTTCATGTTAAAAAAGAATGCTTCTTTGGAATGTTTCATAATCAGGAAGCTTAAATTTTTAGCTTGGGGTTAACAAGTTTCCTGCTTCTTTGCATTTTACAGGTTGAATTGTTAGTTAAGGGAGCAACAATATAATAAATGGCTACACTACAGGATATTGGTGTATCAGCTGGGATAAACATCCTAAGTGCCTTCATTTTCTTCATAATCTTTGCGATTTTGAGGCTCCAGCCGTTTAACGACAGAGTTTACTTCTCAAAATGGTACCTCAAGGGGTTAAGAAGCAGCCCTGCGCGTGGTGGCGCCTTTGTTCAGCGCTTTGTGAACCTTGACTTCAGGTCTTACATGAAGTTTTTGAACTGGATGCCAGAGGCTCTAAAGATGCCCGAGCCTGAGCTGATCAATCATGCCGGTTTGGATTCAGTTGTGTATCTCCGGATTTACTGGCTGGGGTAAAGTTTCGAACTTTGCAAGTTTTTTGTTTTGGTTGATTGGACTGAAAAATTAGAAACTAAGGGTTGTTTTCTTATTTAGTCAAACCCAATTGATCTAAAGAAGCAGAAGAGATATGTTATATGCTATTTTTGGCTCTAGGTAGAGTAAATATAAGTTTAGCCAAGGCTCAGGACCACTTTTTTTTCTCTCATTAATGATTTTATACATATCTCTATTGTTTACATTATATGTGCAGGCTTAAGATCTTTACTCCAATAGCAGTGCTTGCTTGGGCAGTTCTTGTGCCAGTCAACTGGACAAACAACACATTGGAGTTGGCTAGGCAGCTAAGGAATGTAACTTCGAGCGATATTGACAAACTATCTGTTTCGAATATCCCAGAGTATTCGATGAGGTGCGTTAGACCTTACCATCTCGAGTGTTTTATGTTTCCATCTGTCAAAAATGTAAAGTTTTGAGCTTACAATGTCTTGACTTTTTTTTGTTGGTTTTCCAGATTTTGGAGTCATATAGTAATGGCATATGCCTTTACCATCTGGACTTGTTATGTGTTGCTGAAAGAATATGAGACAATTGCTGACATGAGGCTCCAGTATGTTGCTTCAGAAGCTCGTCGACCTGACCAGTTCACTGTAAGACTCCTTTCTTTCCCATGGTTTATTCTTTAAACACTGTACTAAGTGTAAAGTCGTGACCAGCGATCTAATATGTTGAGATATGTGATAGGTTCTTGTAAGAAATGTACCTCCGGATGCAGATGAATCTGTTAGTGAACTGGTTGAGCATTTTTTCCTGGTCAATCATCCTGATCACTACCTGACAAATCAGGTAAATTTCTTAGAAGCTTGAAATTTGAATCAGCTATTCTGTGAGTTATGATCTTCTTCAGATGTATGAAAAATACGAGCTTTATGAGACTATCAGACTATTAGTAGATTCTTACTTTTGTCTGAAACCAATATGTAGGTTGTATGCAATGCAAACAAGCTCGCCGATTTGGTACAAAAGAAGAAAAAGCTGCAGAATTGGCTTGATTATTACCAGCTCAAATACGCTAGAAATAACTCTCAGAGAATTATGGTGAAGGTACTTGAAAATAAATCTCAACCTTACTCTTCTTTTTGTTTCTGTTCTGTTAAGTTGACACTTTTTCATCAAATAGCTTGGCTTCCTTGGACTTTGGGGACAAAGAGTTGATGCAATCGAACATTACACTGCTGAAATTGACAAAGTATCAAAAGAGATTGCCATAGAAAGGGAGGAAGTGGTGAATGATCCCAAGTCCATTATGCCAGCATCTTTTGTCTCCTTTAAAACTCGATGGGCTGCTGCTGTCTGTGCTCAGACCCAACAGACCCGGAACCCGACCCAATGGCTAACCGAATGGGCTCCAGAACCACGTGATGTGTATTGGCCAAATCTTGCTATTCCATACGTTTCTCTTACAGTAAGGAGGTTGATCATGCATGTTGCCTTCTTCTTCCTAACCTTCTTCTTCATCATTCCCATCGCGTTTGTACAATCTCTTGCTACCATCGAAGGGATTGTGAAAGCTGCACCGTTCTTGAAAGTTATTGTCGAGAAGTGAGTTTCTTCTTCTTCACATTCTTGACATAGAATAAACTGATGAAACATTAAGTAGCATTGGACTGACTGGTTTTCATTTTATTGTAGTGATTTCATGAAATCACTGATACAAGGTTTTCTACCTGGTATTGCACTGAAGCTTTTCCTCATCTTTCTGCCATCCATTCTAATGATCATGTCCAAATTCGAAGGCTTCACATCGATCTCATCCTTGGAGAGACGATCAGCATTTAGATATTACATCTTCAACTTTGTGAATGTCTTTCTTGCAAGCGTTGTCACTGGAGCTGCGTTCGAACAGCTTAGCGCTTTCCTCAATCAATCCCCAAACCAAATCCCCAAGACCATTGGCGTGGCGATACCGATGAAAGCAACTTTCTTCATCACTTACATAATGGTTGACGGTTGGGCAGGAGTAGCAGGAGAGATTCTGATGCTGAAACCTCTGATTATGTTCCATCTCAAAAACGCCTTCTTGGTTAAGACTGAGAAAGACAGAGAAGAAGCAATGGACCCTGGAAGCATTGGTTTCAACACAGGGGAGCCTCGGATACAGCTCTACTTCCTTCTCGGTCTTGTCTACGCTCCTGTGACACCAATGCTTCTTCCTTTTATCTTGGTCTTCTTTGCCCTTGCTTACATTGTGTATCGTCATCAAGTAAGTTTCCTTTCCTCAAGTGGTTCGAATCAGTTTCAAAGCAGATTCTTGAAACATCTTTTTCTGTTTCTGTCAGATCATAAATGTATACAATCAAGAATACGAGAGTGCTGCAGCGTTTTGGCCAGACGTTCATGGACGAGTCATAACGGCTTTGATAATCTCACAGTTGCTTCTCATGGGTTTGTTGGGAACAAAACATGCTGCATTAGCTGCACCGTTTCTCATTGCTTTGCCTGTGCTTACTATCGGTTTCCACCGCTTCTGCAAAGGTCGTTATGAGCCAGCCTTCATCAGATATCCTTTACAGGTTTCTTGTTTCTTCTAACACAACCTTTTCCTTTACTTTTTATATTCCCCAACCATATATACCAAATATGAATCATTCTTGTGTTTCGTTTCCTTGTGGGTTTGTTTCTTTTGACAGGAAGCTATGATGAAAGATACATTGGAAAGTGCGAGAGAGCCTAACCTGAACCTCAAAGGCTACTTGCAGAGTGCTTACGTGCATCCTGTTTTCAGAGGTGACGAAGACGATGATGACATTGATGATAAGCTCGGGAAGTTTGAGGACGAAGCCATCATTGTCCCCACCAAACGTCAGTCGCGGAGGAATACTCCGGCTCCTAGCAGAATCAGCGGAGAATCTTCGCCGTCTTTGCCCTTCAGTGGTAAAGAAGTCTAGAGAAACGTTTTTCAAAACGAAGGATGTTTTACATTGTAAAGAAGCATTCGACTAAGTCACTCAATTTGTATGTAAAATTTAGAAATCAAACTAGAAAATATATTGTTGTTATGTACGTACGGTCTATATTAAGTTTCTATTCAAGTTTGATCATCGATTCACCACTAATATCTTACAACTTTTTTTTTTTATTATCACGACTTAAAGCGGTCAATAATTAGCTATTACGTCCATATTTTTCTCTATCTTGTATTTATCTACACGTTCATTCTTTCTTATTAATTTTGTCTCTCATCGTTTTCATTTACGCTTATTTTACAATTTGAGAAAATATGTCATATACAAGCTATATTTATTTCACAGATTTTTTTTGTTACGTTTTGTATAATTGTATATTCGTATAATATAACAGTTTAATACAACACTATATATTAGTGGTTCTTACGGCTTTAAAAGTGTTAGGCACTACTCTTAATATATACATAACCCTACATAGAATAAGACTTTTTGACCCAAAAAAATAATAATAGAATAAGACTTTTCTGACCCAAAAAATAATAATAATAGAATAAGACTTTAGTTAATTTATTCAAAACTTTAACTGAATAACAATAGATTTCAAACTCTCTTTTTTTGTCAAATCCTTATGATTCTTAAGTAACAATAGATTTTAAATTCTATTGATAGAAAGGTTTTAAATACAAGAATCAAAAACACTAGCATTTTTAATAAAATTTCTTAAATACAAGAACTAATAACACTAGAATAATTGGATAATAATGAATCATGGCTGGATTTAAATTTGATTAAAAACCATATTGAATAACATTCCCTAAAAGACAAAATAAAATTTATAGAGTCGTACGTGAACTACACTCCCTATTCTGACAGTCTAACTAATTGATTTATATAAAAAATAAGGTATTGATAATTTTTTTATAAAAAAACTCGATATACGATCGTTTTGAATAGAGAGACTGAGAAAGATATTGAGAAAGAAAAGGTAGGACGAACAAGTGACTCTCTCTCTCTCTTTCTCTCTCTCTATCTCTCACATCCATGGATAAGATATCACCATCATTCTTCCGCCACGAGGGAAAGCCAATTCGATGCAAAGCAGCAATATGTAGAAAAGCAGGAGAAGCATTAGTGATCGAAGAGATCCACGTTGATCCACCTCAAGCCTACGAAGTTAGAATTAAGATCCTATGCACATCTCTATGTCACACCGATCTTTCTTTCTCGAAATTAGACACTGTAAGATTTACATATATTTCTTTTACCGAAAAAAAAAAATATGTCTATACTAAACTTGATTTTTTTTTTCACTAACCTTTTGAATTTTCCAGGGACCACTCGTAAGGTTTCCTAGAATTCTAGGACACGAAGCAGTCGGGTGAATCTTCTTCATATATCCTTGTTTTAAAAGTTGAAATTTTTACTCTTGTTTCAAGAATCTGCCTGATTAATTATTACTTGATCTTTTTGTCGTAATTAATCCAGTGTGGTCGAGAGCATTGGTGAACACGTGGACGGATTCAAACAAGGCGACGTTGTATTGCCAGTGTTTCACCCTCACTGTGAAGAATGTAGAGATTGCAAATCCTCAAAGACCAACTGGTGCACAAGATTTGCTGAAGATTTCTTGTCAAACACGCGACGATACGGAATGGCTTCAAGATTCAAGGACTCTTCAGGAGATGATATTCACCATTTCCTCTTTGTGTCCAGTTTTTCTGAATACACCGTCGTTGATATGGCACATCTCGTCAAAATCTGTCCTGAAATTCCCGTTGATAAAGCGATTTTGCTAAGCTGCGGTGTCTCCACAGGTTTCTTATGTTCTTTTCTTTTTTTTTGATAAACTGTGGGAATTTGGACTTTTTGGTCATAATATTTTAACGTCTAAAGAGTATAGTTTTAATTACCAGCCCGATGACTAAATTGACACCCGTGAATAACGTGGATCAGGAGTTGGAGCAGCTTGGAAGGTGGCCGATGTGGAAGAAGGCTCCACCATTGCCGTTTTTGGCCTTGGTGCTGTTGGACTTGCGGTATACTTTTTTCTTTTTTCAAGTATAGAAACTTTTTCTTCTATAAAGAAAAAACAAAAAAGTAGCTTTAGCAAAATTATTTCCACAGTATTTGTTGTCCCTCGATTTAATTTATTTTATATGTATTAGTTATTTGCTAATAATAATTGAGATGATTTGGTATTAGGTTGGAGAAGGAGCCAGGCTGCGTGGGGCCGCAAAGATCATCGGTGTTGATCTCAATCCTAAAAAATTCGAGCTAGGTAAAGTCATTTTATATTTCAATGAAATGTTTTTTTCTCAACAATTAAAGGTTTTTTCTTTTGATTTAAAATGTCATTATTTTCTTGGCACCACTTAAACAAAAGATTTCATATCTAAAATTAATTATTATAATACGAAAAATTGGCTTAAATCTATAAACTTATAAATTATCTACATTGAATAGGTAAGAAATTTGGCTTTACGGATTTCGTCAATCCTACCTTTTGTGGAGAACAAAAAATTAGCGAGGTATGTTATATTTTACACCATTTTATATATAAGTTTTAAGAAGAAAAATATTTTATTTGTTGGGTAATCATGAAAAAAGGTGATTAAGGAAATAACAGGAGGAGGAGTTGACTACAGTTTTGAATGCATTGGTTTAACTTCTGTATTGAGCGAGGCTTTCACTAGCACCCGCACGGTACGCTAATATTTGACTGGTTCATGCAGTTTCTTAGCCAGTTCAATATCATCTCAATGCTTAAGCAAAATTGATTTACTACGTCTTTAACAATAAAATTAAACAAAAAAATAAAACAGGGTACAGGAAAGACGATAGTTTTGGGGATAGATAAGCATCTAGAGCCAACCAATTTGGATAGTTTTGATCTTTTCAGAGGCAAACATGTTTGTGGAAGCTTGTTTGGTGGTCTGAAACCGAAACTGGATATTCCGATTCTCGTTAATCGTTACTTAAAAAAGGTATATATGTATCTATATATATTAATCTATTTATTTGCTTACGATTTTTGTATTACTTCCAACTTAAATGTTTTCTTACAATTTTAGGAGCTTAATCTGGACAGTTTTATCACACATGAATTGAATTTTGAGGAAATCAACAAGGCTTTCGATTTATTAGAGCAAGGAAAGTCTCTCCGCTGCATTCTATGGATGGATAAGTAATATATAATTTATTATTAATCTCTTATTATTAATCTCTTATACTTTTGGGATGATCCTTTTATCTAATGTTAAACATGATGACCAGTTTGTGTATTTAAAATTCTGAATATCATTATTCATTGTGTGATGAAAATAAGGCAAAAATCTCATATCATTTGAAAATAATAATCCATCACCAGCGGTATTAATTCTTATATATTTTTGGCCAATAATCTAAGATAAACTAAGATAACCTTCCAAAAACTAGTTAAAGATACCCATTAATTGTTTTTAGATTTGTATTTTAAATGATTGCATACTTTTTCTTCCAAATATGTAAGTCGATTTATGTTTACCAAAAACATATGTATAATACGTTGAAATATGTGTATATATATACAGACACATACAACCTGTATCATCACAACCAATACTAACAAAAAAATTACTTGGCACAAACGTGACAGATACAACACTAAGACAATAAGAATCATGAGATCAGCTACTCTTTTTTTGTTTTCTTGTATTCTCATGTCTTTCATTTTGAACCATGTCAAAGGTAACGCATAGACTTTTTGTTTTGTTTTGTTATGAGAAATCTTATTTTTGCCTATTGCTAAATACGTTGTTTCCATGGAAAAAAAGGTGTAGACCATCTACTAATTTTAATTTTGTTGCATATCAATAACCATATATATTTTGTTTAATTAAAACGTGACATTTTCTGTGGTTGATATAATAAAACAATAGAAGTTGAAGGTGGACTGACTCCAATGGAACTTTGCGGCCGGAAGGATATATTTATCGGGGGATGCAGCCAGGACGGAAACAACACTTGCATAAACGACTTCGTTAAGAAAGGAGGTGATGCCAATAGGCCTTCTAGTTGCGAGTGTGATACTTGCGACGAACAGTTATGCCGATGTATATCCTTGCTAGCTTTGTTATAGGTCTAGAAACAAAATGTACAATAATAGCTACTAGAGAATTAACATGGAAGAAACTAGTTCTATGCGGTGTGTATATTAATTTTTTCTGGACGTCGGAGAAAACGTAATAAAAAAAAAAGAGTTGCAAAACTTAATAAACCTTAAAACCTCGTTTCCTTAAGACTCTGCACAGCTTTCCAGCCACAGCATTTGTACAACAACGTTTCTTTATCATTATTCATGGCGGAGTAAGGAGATCTCGGCAGATCAGCTTAAAAAGGACCATATATTATTATATCATATATGTTGTTTAGATAGGGGAATTATGTTTCGATATCTGGTTGAGGAGGATTTTTCTAAAAGCTTAAAACTTCTCTAATAATCTATTTGGAATAATCAAAACTCTTTGTCAAAGGAGAAATCTCTCCCTCTCGCTCTGGCAGAATCGCATAAAAAATGAACCATAATTTGATCCTGATCTTCAACTACAGTTAGATAATTTTACTCTTTTAGCTATATAATACATTAATTTTACATGTTGATATACATTTTTAACCCTAATCTTAATGTAGTGGTATATTTTTATTTTCTAGAGATGCCCATTAATTGTTCCCGTTAAAGTAGGAATGTTATACAATTGAATTGAATTTGGTCTTTGTTTGAATATTTACTTTCCATATTGTTTTCTTAAGTAGTTTACCAAATACTTTCGTTGAATATGTATTATATATATATATATATATATACATATAGACCTCTTAGGCTCTTACATATCATCATTTCAAAGCCAAGATCAATATACAAAAGAAAAAAGTTAACTTCTATTCAAAAATAATAATGAAATCTGCATCTTTGTTTTTGGTTTCTTATGTTTTCACGTTCCTCCTTTTAAGTCATCTCCAAGGTAAGGATTTTACTCTCTTTTCATATGTCAAATTTATGAATCGAATCAAGAAAGATTTCTTGCCAACAAAAATTAAATGAATGTTGCAGTAAAAATTGTATGTTTCTTAGGCCGCTGGTTTTAAAGTACCTAATTGTTAAGATATATTGATTTTCGTTTTATTTTCACAATGTAATACTAATTCATATAACTGACGTAATTATGATGTCAGAAGTGGAGGGGGTAAGCCCGATGAACCAATGCCCACGGAAACAGATATTCGGCGGTGGAGGTTGCGGAAGCGATGGAAACAAGACTTGCATTGACAGTTTTGTTAAACAAGGAGGTGACAGGCCTATTAGTTGCGAGTGTGATGACATTGTGGATGAACATTTATGCCGATGTATTTTTCCTTGCTAAGTTTTATAACATCCATACAACTAGATTTATATGGAATAAACTGTAGAAGTAACTTTAATACTTTCGATGTAGAATCTCGACCCTATCGAATGATAAAGAGAATAAAATTACGAAAATATCATTTTTTCGAGTTTTTCTTTTCTTATTTACTTTTTTTTTTCGAATGGAAGTAAGAAGTTCTCGGTGAGCATTCATAAACCTCCAATTCAAAATCCAATGATATTTTGATGTGGAATGTTAACAAATTATTTTAAGATAATAACTATTTCGCTCTTTCAAATCGTACAGGATCCCACTTTTTATTAGATCCATTATATATCCGTATGAATAGAAATGGATTAGACACGAGAGGCTTCTTTGTCATTGATGGATTTGTAGAGTTAGTGAATGAATACAAGTCTAGTTTAGAAATGCACTATGTAAAATTTCCGCAATTTTCATCGTAAGAGATGATCTCCCAAACTCTCTGCTCATTGGTATCCTACATTTCTCAAGGGCAATAACGTCTTCTTGGTTCTCAAGTATCAAGCAATAGAATACAAATTTCTCTTCTTCCTCCTTATAATGTTTAGCATTTATTTATATTTTCTGATGAATTACTATCTTTTTATTTTTTTGATGAAATAATATTCTGTTTATGAGAAATAATAAAATCTCATGTTCTACCGGAAAACCATCACATTTTTCTATTCTACTGAGTTTAGACTGCATGCCGCTTTTAAAAGGCCCATTATTGCATAAACGACACGCTTTCCTTAATCCTTCTTTGTTTTATCGGGTCATTTCAACTCACCGTACTCCCTCTCACACTGGATTATTCTTGGATTCATTTCAACACACTTGTCAGTGTCGCTTTGCTTTTGAATCCACGCTGAATATTGATACAGACAACAAGTGTTTGATTCTTCGTAAACTTCTCTCGCGAGACTAGTGTTCTTTGACACCAAAATCATGGTGCGTATAGAGACAGAAATAGAGAAATGGAACGAAGTTTGTCTCTGATCACCATTTTTCTGGTTCTCGCTTTGTCTGGAAGATGCAGCTGCGATGTCAATCTTTTCAGCCGGAACGATTTCCCCGAGGGCTTCGCTTTCGGATCCGCAACTTCTGCTTATCAGGTTCCGACTTCGATTCTCAGTTTTCCTCCGATTTTGTTTTTCTTCGACTGATCTCAAAAATAATTACTTGAAATGGTTTCTGAAAGTGGGAAGGAGCTGTTAGTGAAGATGGGAAAAAGCCTAGCATCTGGGACACTTTCCTTCACCCTCGTAAGCTTTTTTTTTTCATTTCTTTATTTTCTTCTTTTGATGTTTGGATTTTAGTTGAACCATGATATACTCTTAACCTCAATTTGGAATTTTTGTATTCGTCAAATTAGTGTTTAACGAGTTTTCTTCACTCTTAAAACACCAATTTTTGGAAACTCAAGTCGTTCTCTGTTTTGGATTCTAAGAAGGTTTTGACTTGGCAGGTAACTTGGAAAATGGAGACATAGCTTGTGATGGGTATCACAAGTACAAGGTTCTTTCTCTTTCTATGGATCTTATCAGTCGCACCAACTAAACTCTTAAAGACTTAACCTTTCATAATCTTAGATTACTGGCTTTGTTATCAACATCAAATTAAGATGTTTCCTTTTTTTCTTGTGCAGGAAGATGTGCAGCTGATGGTGGAAACTGGCTTAGATGCGTTCAGATTCTCCATCTCTTGGTCTAGGCTTATACCGGGTAAGTATTCTAAAACCCTCGTGATGTAGTTTTTTTTTTCTTAACTTGAAGCAGTGAAGTTTATCTCGTTTAGATGGAAGAGGTCTTGTTAACCCAAAGGGTCTTCAGTTCTACAATAACTTCATCCAAGAACTTGTAAGCCATGGTGAGAGAGACCCTTTCTCATGTCCACTAACCAATTCTTGATATGCTTTTAGTTCCTACTAACTAAATTTAGCGCAGGAATCGAACCACATGTTACACTGTACCACTACGACCATCCTCAGTACATAGAGGATGACTATGGAGGATGGATCAACCGCAGAATCATGTAGGCTAACAATATACGGTTTTTAATATTTTGTGGTGAAAATCAAGAAGTTGATGTTATCTGGCCATTGCAGCGAAGACTTTACTGCTTATGCAGATGTTTGCTTCAGAGAGTTTGGTTCTCGCGTCAAATTTTGGACCACGATCAACGAGGCTAATGTATTCACTATTGGAGGTTATAACGATGGGACTACACCGCCTGGTCGTTGCTCCTCACCGGGCAGAAACTGCTCGTCAGGGAACTCTTCGACTGAACCATATATCGTAGGCCATAACTTGCTGCTTGCGCACGCCTCTGTTTCAAGACTATATAAGCAAAAGTACAAGGTCTCATGTATATACATATATGTATATCACACATATAATACTCTCTTGAATGTGTGAGCTAATGACAGAGGAGCAACATATTATATATAATGTGCAGGAAAGGCAAAGAGGTTCTGTAGGCTTTAGCTTATTTACAATAGGGTTTACTCCTTCTACAAGCTCCAAAGATGATATCAATGCAATTCTTAGAGCCAAAGATTTCTTCCTCGGCTGGTGAGTCATGCACAAACGGTTTCAAAAGATATTTCAAATTGGGCAACATAGTCTAGGTTTTAAGCTGCACTTTAATATTCAGGATGCTTGAGCCTCTTATATTTGGAGACTATCCGGATGAAATGAAAAGAACCGTTGGTTCAAGACTACCAGTTTTCTCAGAGGGAGAGTCAGAACAAGTTAAAGGCTCATCTGACTTCATAGGAATCATTCACTATCTTGCGGCGTACGTCACAAACATCAAATTCAAACCTTCTCTTTCAGGGAACCCGGATTTCTTCTCAGACATGGGCGTATCTGTGACTTGTCGGAATCAATACTCCTCTTTTTGAATATGAAAACAAACTCTTTGTTCGTTTATCTCGATATTTTTGTTTTTGCTAATCATCTCTTCTTCGTGTTACTGCTTCGAGGGACAGTCCTTGGGAATTTTACGGCTTTCGAGGTAAGAATTTCAAAACTCAGATGCAAAACTCCAAATATTCCTTATACAGTTAAGTGTTCCCAATCCATCTTTTTCTCAGTTTTTTATTTTTATTTTTATTTTTTTGTTTGGACAAGTATGCTGTTGCTCCATGGGCTATGGAAAGTGTCTTGGAGTATATAAAGCAGAGTTATGGCAATCCTCCTGTCTACATTCTTGAGAATGGTATCTCTTTCTCTTTTACTTTTCTGATATTTCTCTTGTTTTAGTCTTAATCTGCTCGATTCTTGCCAACTATAGGTAGACCGATGAAACAAGATTTGCAGCTGCAAAAGAAGGACACTCCAAGAATTGAGTACTTACATGCTTACATTGGTGCGGTGCTAAAATCCGTTAGGTAGGTAAAGTTTATTATTGCACCTTCTCTTCTCTTGTCATTGTATAATAGAGAAAAACAAAAGTCATTTATACGTGTAGGAATGGATCAAACACGAGAGGCTATTTCGTATGGTCATTTATGGATTTATACGAGTTACTGAGAGGATACGAGTTTAGTTTTGGATTGTACTCTGTGAATTTTAGCGATCCTCATCTCAAGAGATCTCCAAAGGCCTCTGCTCATTGGTACTCTGCTTTTCTCAAGGGCAACACCACTTTTCTTGCTTCCCAAGGCATCACAAAATTGCAGAGCGACTTCTTTTCTTCAGCTTCTTAGTAGTAATGCTTGCATTTTTATTTCCTGATGACTCTGGTTCGGTTATGAGAGTTTGTACTGAACGAAATATCATGTTCTAGGGGTAAACATCACGCTTTTCTGTGTTAATGGATTTAGACTACTTGCCGTTTTGAAAGTCCATCATCCGAATTGAAAACTTAAAACAGCACGCTTTCATTGAGCCAATGTAATAGTGGGCTATTTTCATCTTGATTCTGTCTTCGATTCTCTGCTCCCCTCTGAATGGGGTATGTTCAAAACCGAAATATGCAGACATTTTCATTCCTTGTATTGATATGGGAGTTGCTTCGTCATGCAAAAGAAATTGATATGTTATAGCAATTATGAAAGATATTATAAATCTAAAACTAATATTAAGATTATCAAAAAAATTGAATCATTGTGTGATGTATAACATTAGAAAAAATAATATAATTGAAAGGAAGCTAGCTGCACTTAAATGAAAACTATCTTAATTTAATCAAATTAATAATTTTCTATATTGATTCCATTGACCAAAATAGTATTCGATTGGTTCATACAAGCCACCTCACCAAATTAACACCATACTAGTGAATGTAATCTAATTAATTAAACAAAATATAACTAAGACACTGGATTTTCCCATCCAAGCAAGTCGGCTAGGGACATGTTCGTGGGGAAGCACGTACATGCATGTGATCTTGTGCAACAACACCAAAATCTCACCAGTTCAACTTTGATCTTTAGGCCACTATTAGGACAAGATCGTGTTTATCACACCTTCTAATCTTTCCGACACAATCTCTCATCTAACACTCCCTTAAGTACTTACTCATCTTTTCTCCATTCTTTATCTCCCTTCTCAAACCCTATCCCCGTACCAGACCATGACTCATTTCTCTGTTTTGTCTCTTTTCGTAGCACTACTCTTATGTCAGTCCTTGGTTCGTGCCGTTACCAACGGTTATTACGGGTATAACCCGTCCGTGGCCAACTATCTACCGGAGAAACCTCAGAACATTATGAATCCCGTGGACTCGTGTTGGCGGCTCAAATCTAACTGGACCGCCAACCGAAAAAACTTAGCAGATTGCGCAGTTGGGTTTGGTTCATCTGCCTTGGGTGGCAAGAAAGGTAATATATATGTTGTCACAAACCCTAGCGACAATGCAGCGAACCCTCAACCAGGTTCTCTGCGATATGGTGTGATCCAAGACAAGCCGTTGTGGATCACTTTCGCTAAGGATATGGTCATAACCCTAGAAAATGAGCTCATGGTCAATAGCTATAAGACCATAGATGGAAGAGGGGCAAAAGTGGAAATTGCATACGGACCATGCATTACGATACAAGGAGTGACGAATGTAATTGTGCACGGGATCAGCATCCACGATTGTAAACCGGGGAAGTACGGAATGGTGAGGAGTAGCACGACGCATGTCGGTCACCGTAAGGGATCGGACGGTGATGCGATTGCGGTTTCAGGCTCGTCGAATATTTGGATCGATCATTGTTACCTAGCGAGTTGTACGGACGGCCTGATCGATGTGATCCATGCTTCTACGGGAATCACCATTTCCAACAACTATTTTACTCAGCATAAGAAAGTCAGTTTCATTTCAAAATTCTATTCATTATGATATCATGTATATAGATGAGTAATGTCTCGAGCAATTACTATCACATTTTGTATGATATTGGTTGTTTTATGTATAGGTGATGTTGCTTGGACATAAAGATGATTTCGTGAAAGATGTGAACATGAAAGTTACCGTGGCCTTCAATCACTTTGGACCAGGACTTGTGGAGAGAATGCCAAGGTAATATTTTTTAATTTCTTCTAATTAATTTGTTATGATGCAGAATTAGACATATAATAATATAAAAAGTGTGGATATCTGATATAAAAAATATATAAATACATTAAAAAGTGTGGTGGGTGCAGGGTAAGACGAGGGTACGCTCATGTGGCAAACAATAGATACGATAAATGGATCATGTATGCAATTGGTGGTAGCGCAGATCCCACCATTTTCAGTGAAGGCAACTATTTCATTGCTTCTGATAAATCTAACAGCAAAGAGGTATTTTCATTTTATCTTCCTAATCCAAGATTATACATATACATATAATTCACGCAAACTTATACGGTTACACCCATATAAATTAGTAACGAAGAGCACATGAATTAAATAAACAGGTGACAAAGAGAGAAGTGAAAGGAGGGTGGAACAATTGGAGATGGAGAACTTCAAAGGACGTTTTCAAGAACGGAGCTTACTTCGTACCTTCAGGTTATGGCAGCATTGTGCTGCCGTATAGTTCTTCTCAACGATTCCTAGTGGCTCCGGGAAACATGGCTCCTTCTCTAACCGCAGACGCTGGCCCTCTAAACTGCAACCACAACCGCCCTTGTTAGAAACCCTCCAAACAAAGTCCATCTAACTAATTATTTGCCTTAATTTGTTATACCGGATTCTGATTTTTTCTTACACAATCGACAAATTTTGACAAAATAAAAGAAACTAAATGAATCCATATTAAATTATTATGTGCTAGGTTGTTATTCTAATGATTCAAAATCTGATAATGTACTGCAATGAGACTCTTCTAGAGCGAGTAGGATAAATGGCATTGGCCGAAGGCAGAGAATCATGGCTCATACTAAGGTTCACACATGGAGATAACGGAGGGGTTTAGTAGAGCGATATACTATATTACACTTTTCCATTTTCTGCTTGTATCAGTTTTTAGTGTTTATAAAAAAATTATAAGGGCTTATAATAATTATATTCACACATTTAATGGTAAAAGTAGACAAAAAACTATTAGCCTCATGAACTTGTTTTTTTTTTGTAACAAAACCATCAATTTTTTTTCTCTCTTTAGTTTGTAACTTTATACGAATTCAACCTGCGATAACCACAACATATGTCTGTAGTTTATTTTGAAAAATAGCCTTAAATTATTTATCTAAAAATAAAAAGGTTTACTTATCGATAAATAATATCACGATACAATGCACTACAAAAAAAAAGAGAGATGTAGATGCAAACAAATAATTATCATCTAAATTATCTATATATTGAAAAGTTAGAAAGAAAATTATTACATACGCTCTCCGTCTAAAAAAAGGTTCGTACGCCATTATTTTAAGATAGCGAGACAATCAATTAACTACAAAAAAATTCCTAATATTGTATAGCATCAAAAGAAGACTTGGAAGTTGGAACCTCCGATGTCGGGCAGATAAGACTAGAGGTCGTATGAACATTATTAAAAATCCGTGTTAGTAATTAACTTTGTAATGTTTCCTTTGACTACAGAAAACCGTACACATCATGTTATATTTTGAAAAAAAAAAGAAAACTCCGAACTAATCTCTCTCTCTCTCTCTTTCACATATACACTCACACATTGGTCAGAATGATTTTCTCAGTTCCCTTAATCTTTGATTGCCTGCTTTAATTAATCACCATGTTTTTGTTTAGACGACTTAATTCTTTTGGTTTCGAGGTTTCTATAAATCGTGATTTTGTGATTTAACAGTTAACACATATAATTACAAACCACTAGCTGGGTAGGTAGATGTGAAAACAAATGAAAATAATATTTTAAAAATTAAACAGTACAAAACAATGGGGTTTTTGTGTTGTAACCATAAATCAGTGGTACCAGTACTTGAAGCTTGCCAATCGACTAGTCGACTATCAAAGAGATTAGAGATTTTTGTTTTTATACGGCAATAATGTTCTATTAAAAAAGAAATCATTAGCCTAGGTAGCGTTTTTGTTTCCTTTATCTCTATAACATTGCTATAATTTTAATAAACTGGTCAATTATATATTTTGACTTCATTCACTATAAATATAGAAATAATTTGATACGAACAAAAAGTCAAAGAAAGTGAGCGGGTCCCACGGTATGATGGTCAACAAATTTATCGGTAAACATAAGTTAATTTTGGGACTACTAAGTGGGACCCAGTTGGGAAGCCGGTTAGGCACTTATCTGTAGTCCGAGCCAGTTCCGTCAATTTTGTCATTTGGCTCCATATTTCTATTCACATGTATTGAATAATTATATTCCAATAATAGCAAGAAAATCATTTGAAATGATTATCAATTAAAAATAAAATGAAAGAATGGTTTGATGACTTCGATCCCTTTATTCTTTACTCGAAACTATGTTTTTCAAAACTTTTTCAAAAATTGTGCAAAAATAAAAACTCTGCAAAAACCTTATAATGGTGAAATCAAATATAAGCTAGAACTCGTTGGAGAGTTCCGTACGAGTATAGCCAAAACAATATAAATCAAATAAAAACAAACAGCATGAAGTTGAAGTACATAGAGGCATAGAGCAAAAACAAGACGCAATGTTTTAGTTTATAATTGAAACAACACGTCATTTATCATTTCTTAGATTCGAAAAAAAAAACTGCAAGTAAACGTGTAAACTGTAATATCTCTTAGAGCATCTCCAATCTTACAGCATTTCCAATGGTTTTTCAAATTTTATGTTTTCCATCATTTTGAAGATAAAAATGAAGGAATCTTCTTCAATGGTGCTTCAAATTCACATTCAAAATAAATAAAAATGAACAGTGTTTTTAATATTTAAAAGAATACTATTCATTTCTTCATTTTTTTAAGGTGAACTTTTTTCTTATAAAATATAGCTTAAACTTTTATATGTTTTGATTTATACCTAAATAAATTATATATATATTTTTTACCCAATTAATTTTAAATCTATGAATTTATCCAATCATATTATAAACTAAAAATGAAATTAACATAATAAAAAGTATAATAACATATATTAATTAAGAAATACAATAACATAGTCAACAATAAAATTAAAAATACATAATTAATACTAAATTAAAAATAATAAAACTCAGCATATCATAAACTAACAACTTAATAATCTGCAAAATTACTTCATATCCATTAAAATTATTAAATTTTTGTTAAAAAATTACTATAAATAAAATAAGTAGATAAAAGTTTATAAAATAAAATATTAAGGACTTAGTAGCAATTAATAATAATATAAGAATATAATATATTTAAAATATTCTTTTTGAAGGAAAAAATGAAGAAAAATTGATCTAATAGTTTTTTCATTTTTTCTTTCAAAAATGAAGAAACTTCAAATATAAAGGAAAAAAAAAAATCATTTGAGATGTTCTTAGTTGGACATTTCTCTATTAATGTCTGGTTAAAGTATAGGACCCACGTCTCTCTTAGAAGTCTCAGGTGGCAGACAGATGACGCAGACTCTGACGCTTTTTAGCAAAACCAAAATTCACCACGAAACTTCCGAAAGGAATCTAATAACATTTTAACTAAAAAATAACTCAATAAACACACACACATTCATATAATCTATATATAATTAAAATTGATGAATTAAAAGATAAATTTGGAGAGATATCTGAGTCGACGTCAAAAGCCTTTTTGTAGGCGAAGCATCTGGACCGGCAAGAACCTCTCTCATCGATCATAGCCACATACTAAATCAAACTCTCTCTCTAAAATCTCTTTCTTTGATCTTTTATCTTCTTGATCTTCCTATATATGGAGAAGCACTAAAAGGTACTACGATACTGTACGGGTCCATCAAACAAGATTAATTATCCACAAGTATACCTTTTATCTTATCCAGCAAGTTACCTATCCTTTTTTCTAGGGTTTTGGAGTGATCGATCAAGAAAAACGTAGATCATAGTATAAAACTAATCACATAAACTTAGATGTTCCGGTTTCCGGTGAGTCTAGGTGGTTCACGTGACGAAGCCCGTCACGATCAGATCACACCGTTGGATGAACGTCGTGTGGTGGTTGGTGAGGTTGACTTCTTCTCGGAGAAGAGAGATAGGGTTTCACGTGAGAACATCAACGACGACGACGAAGAACCCAATAAGGTTCACGTCAAAATGGAGAATTCACGAGCTGAAGATAACGATCGTTCTAGAGATGTAAATGTAAGTATAATCGATTTTTCTATATTAAAAGATTTATTTCATTTCCTTAATTTTTGGCTGAAATCTTGCTTCTTGGGTTGGTGAGATGTGAATGCTCACAACACTAGTTTGTAATAATTACTTTTCGTTTTTCATAGAGTTGTTTTATCATTTACATAAGCAGATCGGGCTGAATCTTCTGACGGCAAATACGGGAAGCGATGAATCAACGGTGGATGATGGACTGTCAATGGATATGGAAGATAAACGTGCAAAGATTGAGGTAGTACTTATAAATAATAATCTGATCATTTTTTTGACCAAAAAATCAAATCTGATCATTTTTTTTCCTTTTTAATTTAAATATAACTAATTAATCCACGAACAAGAATAATCCCATTATATTATTACATATCTTCTTCAGCATCTAACTCCACCGAATTAGTGATTTCTAATTTGATTTTGTATGGTGTCTGGTTAGAGGACAATAAATATTTGTAAGTAGTAAAACATATAAAAAGAATTTTTTTTCTTTTGTCCTAAAAAAATACATTTTTAGAATGAAATATTTCTGAAAATTTTGGAAAATATTGTTAGTTTTAATATGTGTATGTTACTTTTTGTTGTAATGAATGAAATGAAGAATGCACAACTACAAGAGGAGCTGAAGAAGATGAAAATAGAGAACCAAAGGCTAAGGGAAATGCTGAGCCAAGCGACCAACAACTTCAATTCCTTACAAATGCAACTTGTTGCCGTCATGAGGCAACAAGAACAACGTATCTCCTCCCAAGATCATCTATTGGTAATTTTACATTTCCCTTTTAGGCTACTACAGTTTTACATGATTGATCTCAATTCGTTTTCTATAAAATATATTTGGTCAATCTGTTTATTTATCGGTTAAATCGTGCAATAACAACCAACAAGGTAAACTATGTAGACAACCCAAATGTTGGTATAGTTGATCAATGGTTTTTCTTAGTCGTTGAATTAAAATTTTATCCTCACCAAGTCGTTACATTTGGTCATTATGACAGCTGTAAATTCGAGAATAATTAATCTAAAAGATTTTCTACAATTGCTATATTTCTATGTATTTTATTATCTATGTGCATGAAAGTATCATTCGTCAGCTAATTAATCTCTATAACGAATGAAAAAATAAACTTTATCTGCACATATACATCAAGCATAAAGTTTTAAGATATAATTATCTTAGGCTACGGAGGGCAACGCAGTAGGAAGGAAACTGCCGGAAGTGCAAGCCATGATACCAAGGCAATTCATGGACCTCGGGCCGTCTTCTGGCGCAGCAGAGCATGATGCCGAAGTGTCATCTGAAGAGAGGACAATGGTGCTATCAGGATCTCCTCCTTCACTTCTAGAGAGTTCCAATCCCCGAGAGAGCGGAAAGAGGTTGCTTGGGAGAGAAGAAAGCCCGGAATCCGAGTCTAACGCCTGGGGAAACCCTAACAAAGTCCCCAAACACAATCCACCCTCTGGAAACAACAACAACAGCAACGGAAACGGAAACGTTATCGATCAGTCTGCTGCCGAAGCCACCATGCGAAAAGCCCGTGTCTCAGTTCGCGCCCGATCTGAAGCTACTATGGTAACCCTAACTCCCTCTAATACAGTAGCTAGGTATATAGTTATCTAAACAAAAGCTTAATAATAATCAACTAATATTGCTACATAGATAACCGATGGATGTCAATGGAGAAAGTATGGACAAAAAATGGCTAAAGGGAACCCTTGTCCGCGAGCTTATTATCGCTGCACGATGGCCGGTGGATGTCCAGTTCGCAAGCAAGTACGTTTGCTCTTACATTTCAACTTGTCAATAAACATAACGTAGCATCTAATATATATGTCTTTAACTAATGATGTTTAAACAGGTGCAACGTTGCGCAGAAGATAGATCTATTCTCATAACCACCTATGAAGGTAACCACAACCATCCACTCCCACCAGCCGCAATGGCCATGGCCTCAACAACCACCGCAGCAGCAAGCATGCTCCTCTCAGGCTCAATGTCGAGCCAAGACGGTCTAATGAACCCAACGAACCTCCTAGCTCGAGCCATCTTGCCTTGTTCCTCAAGCATGGCCACAATCTCAGCCTCCGCGCCATTCCCAACCATCACACTGGACCTCACCAATTCATCCAACGGTAACACTTCGAACATAGGCACTAATAACCCGTTGATGCAGTTCGCTCAACGGCCCGGTTTCAACCCTGCGGTTTTGCCTCAAGTGGTCGGTCAAGCTTTGTATTATAACCAACAACAATCCAAGTTTTCCGGTTTACAGTTACCGGCTCAGCCGCTGCAGATTGCGACCACTTCTTCGATGGCCGAGAGCGTTAGTGCCGCTAGTGCAGCGATTGCGTCTGATCCAAACTTTGCGGCGGCTCTAGCGGCTGCAATTACGTCCATTATCAACGGTTCTAGTCATCAGAATAATAGCAACAATAATACTAATGTGGCTACGAGCAACGGTGACAATAGGCAATAAGAGTTTTTATTTTGATGGTCGATTTTTTTTTCTTTACTTTGTTTTGAGTTTTGGATGTGTAATTATTCGTATTTCTGATTTTGATTTTGTCGTGAACTAGAAGGGTCTTCCAGAACATGTTTTTTTCTCTGTTCTTCATGTAAGATCAACGATTTTGTTGGGAACTTAACTCACATATTTTGAGGTCTATACATATATATATATATATATATATGAGGATTAAGCATACATTAATTAGTCCTGAAGGTAAAGGAACAAAAATGAATGCAAAATACACATATCAATAGAAAATGTTCTAGAGGCCACGAACTATCGTCTACTACTCTACTCAGTCAATTAATCGCTGATCAATAGATAACTTACTCAGCAATCAATCAATTAATTGACCGGTTCACCGAAGAATTAGCTAGTTCCCTAAAAGCATGGTGACCAGGATTCAGATAGAAAGAAGTTTCACTTTTTGGCTATATACTGTTGTAAACTTGTAATACATGAATAGATTACGTAAGATATTTGACATGTGGTGCTATGTTTTTTACAAAAATAGACATGCTACATTACAGATTGTCAATTGATGATATATGAAATATTTCTATATATATATATATATATATATATAAGAATGCTTTTGTTAAATAGATATTAAGTTTACAAAAATAAGATTTATGCTTCATAATTGTATAGCTTATAGAATATAAAATTATTCTATATATATATATATATATATCTTTTATGAACTCCATTTTCCATGTATGAAAATAATTTGTTAGCTTTGGATTTCCTTATTCTTAGGTTGAGCTTTAGGCCTTTACGTTCTTGATAGGTCGAGTATCTAGGTAGTAAGAGAAAAGTTTCTCTTTATAAATGTTCTTTGAGAATTAAGCGGATGAAAATGAAACGCTATATTTCCTTTTCTCATGCTTCAAGGATTCGCATGTCTCTAAGCATTAAGGCTCGTATGCTCTTGTGGCCTTAGACAAAGTCAAATCCATTTGGTAACACTAGTTCAATTTTCAGGTATGTATTTTGATTTTGAGCTTGTAAAACTTTTGAATTTGGATACATTCAGCCAAAACAAGGTTTTGAATAAAAATCTAATTGTGAAAGAGAAGAAAAAGAGCTTCATATCGATTTTACATGGTCCATCGATGTTTGGGCCCCGCAATTTTGTTATGTGAAAGAAGACTAGTTGATTTTATTTTAGTCGATGTTGGATTACGTTATTCGATCGTTAAATATGAATTTTAGTTTTTAGTGGTTCAATCAATTGAAGCCCAATCTCGTGAATACAAGAGACTACTGAATATCAGATATTTCAATTGTGAAACATTTTAACTCAGGAAAATAGACTCGTTTCACTTCTATAGAGGCAATAACAAGTGAACCATATATTTGAGATCTGAGATTTTACTGAGTCTAATGGTTGGACCAAAATTGCCAGAGGAGAATTCCATCAAGTACGAACTGGTAACTAGTTAAACTCTTCTTCTTGGTACTAATTAATTTGCACATGCTTTCCTTATCTTTTTTCTTTTGTCAATCCTTCTTTAAATTAAACATTATATAATAAAACAGTACACGCAAGTCAAACCCATGATAAGAAAAATCAAATTTATGATTATGATACACATGAACCCACTAAAAAGTAAACCGATATTTTGATGAAACTATTTTTGTCATACCCTCAACACTGCAAATTAAACTGTAAACGATATACAGTATGCAAGGTGTGGAAAACTATGGTAAATCCCATTTTAGGAATACAAAATTGTTGACAAAATACAAAATCATTCAGAAAATATATAAATTTTACATATATAAGACAATTAGAGCCACTAAGCATTAAATGAGGGGCCAAACCGTGTTCATAAATGTCAAGGGTTTGTTTCAATTAAATATAAACTTACATTTTATCGGGTTAATGGGTATTCTGAGTAAGTTTTATCTAACCTATCATGGGTTGATTTGATTTTGTGTGATGGACACAAAGGACATTCTTACTTCTTACTTGTGTGATGGAGATCAGGAGAGTATTGGAAATAGTAAATTACGATACAAAGTAATGTTCAGGTTTACCGAAAGTTCAATTTAATTTTTTAGTTGGTATAAACTTTGATCGTAGTTGTCACATAGCATAATAGCAATAAGCATGTAAGAACAAAAAAAGGCATTTACTTGCCCTGGTCGGGTCTTTTTTTTAATATTAAAATGTCTTTTACTCTCTTACAGTTTATATAATTCAATCATCTCTTGATTTCATGAACAAAAAAAATTATAGAGAGATACAAATTTAGTAGATATTATTACACCAGTCAGATAATTATTGAGTAACTTAGATCGACTAGCGAACCCGACTTTCACAGTCGGTGGACTCTGATAATCAAAAACAGTGTGAAAGGCTCGCATGAATGGCTGGCCCAATGTCCTACAATCAGAGTAACTTACCATTGGGTTTGTATGTGCTCGATGCACTTGAGTTGTAACTAGGGTGAGGGAATATACCTGCCGGCCATTTTTTAGACGGGATCCAAAGGTCGGTACTTTTGGTATCAAACACATCGCTGAACGTTGGCCTGGTGTACCAGCTTTAACATGACCGGTCCAAAAACAACAGAGATCTAAAACGATACTAGAATTTGTGCTCTTTCTCATGTTTTAATATAACATTACAATGATGTAATCTATAGTCTATATATTGGACAGTTATTAATTATTTTTTGCAAACATCAAATTAAGTTCCATAATAAGTTTACTTTGATTCATTTTAGTAACATTTTACCTATTGAATATTTTGTATTAAAAAATGCTTTAGCAAAATTAATCAAAACAAAACAAAAAAGAACAAAAGCAAAATATAAGCAAAATATAAGCAAAACATAAAAAAAAAGATAAACGAAATTAACAATATGTTTTATTAAGATCTACTAAATGAATTGATATCATTCATTGTGAAAGTGATCATTATTAAGATTTAAGAGTATTTCCATTAGGAGATTCTCACTTTGAGTATCTAGAAAGAGAAAAAATTATACTAATAAAATAATGAGTGAGTATTTCAAAAGGTTGGGATAAAAAGTATTTTAAATGAGAAATTTTGAGATACTTTTGAGTGAGTATCTCAACTATTTGTTATACTCACTCACTATTTTATTATTAATTTTTTTTTTTTAAATACTTAAAGCGAAAACTTCCTAACGGAGGTGTTCTACTAAATGTATTTGGTATATTTTTATTAAGATCCGGCGAAATCAGAAATATGTTTTCTTTGTTTATTGAATCTAGGTTTACGACTGCAAAATTGGAAATAGATTTCATCTTTTTCCTATCAGAATGTGTAAATAAAAATACCAAATATATTTTCAGTTATATTTGTTCATATCGAACTATCGAAGAACATCGTATGTTATACTCTTCACTGGAATAAATATGGGTGGAGAAACAGAATATTTGTAGTGCAGGCGATATGCCATGCGATATGCAACAAACAAGCTAAGTTAAAAGATGTGATCTAAATTTGATATTATTCTATTATATATGATATACATTTCCCTTTCACACTTGCAAAAGAAAAAAGACCCAAGTCCAACAGAGTTGTGTTTAAGGGATAACCAAAAAAAAGCATTGAAAATATATCATCTCAATTTGAAATTTGGCACAAACCATCGAGCAACAGATGATGAGTGAATGGACGAAAGAATACTTGGATGTGGTCTTTCAATCTTGTGTGTGTCGAAACTGAAGTTGAAGATATCTTTTTCACTCCAAACACGATATTCATGATGAAAACCACTAAAATATATTGAGTTTCGATTGACTCCTTCGATGGAATTGGCTAGCACGGTAATGCCTTGATCCAGAAGTATTGCCTCGTCTCCTAAAGAATTAAGTTTCTCCCACTTTTTGTTTTTCTTCTTCTTTTTTTGATAAAGGTTTAATTTCTTCCACTTGCTATTTGATGAATCCAGCTTGTAGACGCGGAAGGACCAAAAGTAAGAATCAGTGCTTACTTTGCTTTTAACTCTCAGGATTTCTCCAGTCAGGGTGACTACAAGATGGTCTTTCATGATATTCCACACATCACCAAGCTCTGGGTAAACACGAAGTGGCATTCCCTTGCTGATAAATATATCATAGTTAACTTGAGTCTCAAAGATTTGATGCGGAATATCTCCAGAAAGATCCAAGACTTTGACATCACGAGAGAAATTATACAAGTAAAGCTTATGATCTTTGTATACCATGTCATACACAGTGTCAAACGTAGTAGCTTGTTTCCAAAAATTATCTCCATTTTTTGCCATAACAATAACTCGGGTTGAGATTAACCATGTAACAACATAATCTTTGGTGTTCTCGTCTATCCAGAAGGAAGACGAGTTAATCTTGATGTCTGTTTCATGATATACGAAACCGAATTGGTCAGTGAACAGGAATGTATCATCCATGTTTCGTTCGATCTTAACCACGCTAAGTTGTGACTCCACAGAGGGCAGATCGATCCTCTCGCGGGTGAATATATTCATAATATAAAGATTACATCGAGGATCCCGCATAAAGAACCAACTTCCACAAGTCGCCAAACAATGGCCATTTGCAAAGTTGACACCAAGATCTTGAATTCGATACGTCTTGTCTTTGGAATTAAACAAGAGACAATAATCTTTACCTTTTTCCGGAAAGAGAATCATCCATGGGATCTGATTGTGTAGCGCTGATTGTCTGGATGCAGAATTCCAAGATGAACAAACACATTTAGCTCGTTGAAAATCTGCAAAACCAAGACGTTCAAAAACCAAGAGCAAGAGATCGAAAGGGAGCTTGGACCAATTTGGTCCATCGGAGGCCGGAGAAAGAGAATCCATCCTACGGAGACTTGCGGGCGACGCATCCTTAGTAGTGCGTTTCCTTGAGAAAAGTTGGTCAAAGAAAGTTAAACAAGAGGAAACCATCTCTCACTAGCTCTCACCACTATACTCGACAGATTATTGACACAAGAGAACCCCATCCCTTTAAATAACCTAGCGCTAACCCTACTCCAAATCTAAAAAAAAAGAGACATGTATCTGACAATATTCATTTCTTTCTGTATCAAATGGTATATATGGAAAACATAGATTGGATGCATGTCCGTAGGAGATATACATTTCTGGTCATATTTTGAGATTTTGTATATCCATCTTTAGTTATTGGAATAGACAAATTTTCATAAACACAAAAAAATCATGATTTGATTATTGGATAAAAACTAAATCTTGCATTCATGTACATAAGATATATATGCATAAAGTAAAATTATAATTTTAGAAGAAAAATTTATACACCATTTCACATTATTTTTTTAATTCATTTAATTTTACATAAATAGATGATATCTGAACCTAATGAATTATAGATTTGTTACATGACTGAACATGGAACGTACCAAGTAGTGTCTAAAGAGAATTGATAGGTGTGAGATTCTTGTCCTTTTTAGGTTAATGATGATCTGCACTGGATTACAAGATAACCAAGAAAATTTTGAAAAAAAATCATTTATTATTGAGACTTAAAAAAAAGTAATGTACGTTTTGTAAGATTATTTTTTTTTAATTTGTAAAAAAGTAAAAATTCATTTATTATTGAAACAGATTGCTAACTAGAACTAGAAAAGAGAGTGCTGATAAAGTTATATCCAGTAACAATAAATAGGTTTTCATTTGCAAAAAAAAAAAAATTAAAAAACAGTTAATAGGTTTGTACAAGTAGTCAAAGAATGGAGGACTGTCATCTTTATCTATACTCAAAACTATTTAATGAATAAATTTTACACTAATTAGAAGAGCTTGCTTGCGTAATCATCAATGGCTAATCCTTGTAACCGACACAAGCTCGATCTTCTAGCTAGATCTCTCAATTCAGACAAGCTTCTTCCGAGTTTCAACGCTACTTTGGTCTCAAAAACTTGTCCGTTCTCTCTTCTCTCTGTTTCGATCGTTTCTTCTAAAAGAGAGAAGAATCCGGCGGAGTTTCTATACATCTCAAACACCATCCCAACTTGACCACCGTGCTCTAACGTGTTCACTACGGCAGCCAAGGAAGCGCAAGTCGTCGCCACTACTCCAGCTAAACCCGAACCGTGGCCTATAAAACCGGAACTTACCGCAGCAATTCCGGTTAACACCGGTCCAGAGATAGCTAAAGCCAGGTTTAACTTCAACGCCACGTTACCTAATCTCTCGTATTCCTCTGCATCTCTATTCTTTATAACCTCAACTACCTCTTTCATCTCCATCTCTAGCTCCTTGTTCCACCCGTTAAACACGGTTTTCGAACGAGTTTCGGTTTTAGTTTCGGGCCACCAAGTCGCTGGCTTGAATTCTTGTGGGAACTTCTCCAGCATTGTGCCGATGAGAGGAAGTGGGTAAGCTCTGTCTAAACAGAGTACTCTCTCTATCGCTTCCTTCACGTATTCTTCGCTGATTCCTTCTTCGGTTTTCTCTCTCAGAACCCTCTCGATTCTGTTTCTCAGCTGCTTGAACAGCCTCGTCGCGTTCCTCTGTTCCTCCACAAGCTGCGACGGCTGAATCTTGTTCATCAAGGCAACCACACCCGTTGCGGACGCCAGCAACATCGTAGAAGCTATCTTCACCGCCGAGGCAGAATCTCCTCCAACGGCGTTCACGGAGGATATTCCGGCCATCAAAGCGGCGGTGAGAGTGATCATGTTGACGGAGTTGAGCAAGAGAGAGTTCCAGTTGTTGCGTTGCTCTCCGATGTTCTTATGCACCTCTACTCTGTCTGTTACTTCTTCAAGAACCGCAATGAGCCGCGACCTCTGCATAACCCGATCATCGTACCTTATCTTCTTCTGTCTTTGTCTCTCTAACAGAGAGAGATCGAAACTTTCGGTGAATCCATCCAACCCAAAAGTTGGTTCTTCAACTCTGAGATTGTGGTTCTTGATTGGTATTTTCGGTACCGAGACGTTAAATTTGGGCAATTTAGGGATTGATATTGCGGATCTTGCTCTTGTGCAAGAAGTAGAAAGCACAAACCTTGAAGCCTGCAATGATGCCATATATATGGAGACAACAGTTATCTTCTTCTTCTTTACTCGGTTTAAACCGGCTTAGTTGCTGACTTGCTGAGGATGTTTGTATTCTGGATTTGTTAGTTATTATTGTGTTTTCCTCAGGTGTTGTTTTCTTGTTCTGTTTGTTGCTAAGGAGGAGAGATCTAATGTATATATAGTTTATGAGATTTACAAGCTAAAAAAACAAAGAGGTTTAAAAAAATGTTTGACCAAGAGGAAACGTTTGACCAATGACTAATTCGTAGTTGATGTATTCTCTTGTGACGATTTTGGTCCACCCATTAGAATAAGTAAAATCATAACTCGCCAAAATTATGGTTAATTTGTTGTTGCCTCCTTAAGAACTAGTCTATTTGCTTGAACATGTTTCACTACTGAACACATTTTATATTCAATGGTTTTAAATAAATAAAAAAGGCCAATTCCAACATCAGTTCAACGTTTATTCACGCGTTTATGTATTCTCAATTGATGGAACCAATAAAACCAAAATTCATTTTCTTAAATATCATATACTAACATAAGACTAATATAAAATCTAATAGTCTGTTTTAACTTTTAAAGAACAAAATTGTGGGGGCCTATAACATTGTGTTGCCATCATCAACTTATAACAAATCAGATCGAACAATGAAACCTGCCGCTTCCTTCAGAGTCTTTCTTGCACGCCAATATACACCATTGGCTGTCTGATGTTCCCATCTGCAATATACACCACAGATCAATTGTCTCTAGAGCAGCTTCAGATCAAGACTTTATTTGGTTCATGTGAAACAAAACTTTACCTTGTTCTCCAATGAGTACCAATCCGGCCATAAAGCCAGGTTGTGGCAGTAAATTGAAACAGCAATGATGCAAGTTTTGGGCATTAGTGAGACAATGATGCAAGTTTGGTCTCTATTTAAATGCAATCTTTGTATAGAATAAACCAGAAAGAGCCAAGAATCTGCAAGATTTGGGGTAACAATGGTGAGAATAAAGAGCCAAGAACCTGCTATGCAGGGGGGGGGGGCGGGAAATGTATTTATGAGATGTGAAATACATTCCCTGACCGCACCGGATTAGACAATGAGGAAATTTCATCATCAGCGTCACTATTTGACAGTGCAATATCCTCTATCAAGAACTTTATATACGTCTCAAACATACAATTTGAGGAAACAATTTGTAAGCCCTCTTCATACGAAAACCATACACTCATCTCTCTGCTGATCGAATCACTATATTGATGCCTGGCAAGCCAATCCCAGTATTCAGGGTCCTTGGAACCAAACCGTAGCATATATCCACACTCCTGAAACTGAAACCTTATCACTTGAGCCAAAACTTAAAACATTTTTTGCAGCAAATTTAACATCTAAAAATACCCAACAAGAAAGATGATAGCTTTTCGAATCAAAATGATGTTATCTACTCAATTTCATTCACAAACCAATAAATAGATCAAATTCCCAAATCAAAAACACACCAAACAAAAAAAAAGAGACTTTTTTCTTTCAAATCACAGTACAAATAGATTTGAATTCCCAAGCTTTACCTTTTTCAATCTCCCATCACTCTTCTGTCTACATAACTCGAGATACCTAAACCACAATCTCAACAATCTTCGCCACGCGCGAAATCGGAGATAGATTTCTTCTTCTTCTTCTTCGGCGTTCAAGATCATCGAGCTCTTCAACCATCCGCTCGAGGCATCCGCTCGAGGCGGTACTGAACAACGTCCGCCATGGCTAGTAGTTGATCGCGGTGGCTCGCAGATCCGGTGGGGTCTAAGAGAGGTCCGGCGAGAAGAACGTCTCAGTTTTGGTTGTGTATTGGGTCCAATGTGGGCTCTCTCCATAGCCCATTTAAACCCAATGGTTAACTGGTATTACAGTATTAGTAAATTTATTAGCCGTTTAAATTTGGCGGGGTTTTAGATGTATCGAGGTTTTACTTCTTCTAGATATACTCATATACATAATTGTTCTTTTGTTCTTTATTTTTTTTTTTAATAATTTCTTTTGTTTTTTGTTGATAATTTCAATTTCTTTATTTCTTTTCTTACCGTCAATACTACAGTGATTCGTAAAAGTTTTTGCAACAACATTATTTTGTTCCCGATTGACATTTTCTAATGAGCAAAGTGGAAGTATTTACTGCTAATTAACATCAAAACGACTAATTTATGCGGCTACGTGGTAATTACAAGACCCGCAATCATTATGAAAATGCATAGCTACTTGATTTATTTTCGGTGGTCATTAGATTTGCTAGATTTTTTTTTTTTTTTTTGTGGTAGTAGTTGGCATAGTTGAAACGTAAAGTATTGTAAATTTTTATTATCCGAGATAATGAATCCATCATACATAATTTTATCGATGAAAATTTTAATTAAAAACGAAAAAACAAAATATCAAATTTTGAAACCAAAAATCCTTATTAAATGGAATTGACAAATGAGATATCTATCGGCTCCATACTTCCTAAGGAGAAGTTTTATCACCGGTGATATTGGTTTGATAAGTGGTACCACCACCACTCCTCCTCCAATGCC